CTCCTGCATACTGATACTTTTGTAGGAAATTTTATAAAAGCTTTTTATATCATTCAGCAGTTACCCACTTAATTATCGTCCCCAGAAATTGCTCAACTTCACTCAAATCTGCTCGCGGTGGAGCCTACTAAACCTTTTGCTATTTAGCTTTATTTATGAATCATGGTTTTCAAAGCTTGAGATGAACATAAAAAGTGTAATGATTAAAGCATTCCGTTGTCATGAGAAACTGTGAAGAACAGTAACTCGTTGGTTGTTTGTGGCATAATCATGGTTGACATTGACAAAGTTTAATTTTTAAGGTTAAAGAGTTATGGGAATGTTTAGCATATGATAAATGAAACGGTGGAGCAGGTAAAAAAGGGCGCGACTGACCCAGACACAGGAAATTTTAGTGGAAAAATAAAATCAATCCCCAAGAACATGAACAACATAATTCAGACGTAGAATAAATAAATAGCATTCAGTACCTCATCTGGTTGAATGGGCAGTATGGAGAAAATCCACATAACCACAGCATCAGCAGAATTTGGCGGCGACATCGTACGCCGCTACTTGCGACGGAGGATTTCAGCCTCATTCATTCATTTCGGGTCGCCCAAATTCAGGGACGGCACTGTTTGTGCGTTGGATTGGCCAATCCAACCTTTAATGTACAACACAGATGCATCTTTGTGCCCTAAGGAATGGTAATTGGAGATTTTGAATGCCAATTAAGTCATACTTACATCGCTTAAGCTAAGCATGCTGCAAATGTTTGGGAAATTGATGTTGCAGAAGCGATGGCAGCTTTGAGTTGGGTATTCCTCCGATCATCCTTCGAATCGGGAATTCTCCGAGTTGCTCACATTTTGGGTCTAAAGGGTGATGCGGAAGATTCAAAAAAAAAAAAAAAATTTGTCAATAAAATATAATTGGAAATAGAAATACTAAGAACCAAAGTTAGAGCAAATGCGCTGTATTCAACGTTGTATACAAAAAAAATAATAAAAATAATGGATTCTTTCGTATAACAAAAGTTGGAACATTCAGTACAAAAATATAAAACAGGTACCGTACCCCGAGAGACATACTTGAATTTGAAGTTTGAGTCTGCATAGGAGGTGGGAGTGATCTAATGAAGTTCTAATTTTCAATAGCTGAGGTCTGGATGGTCTCGGTTGGAGTATGGCTTCTAATAGTGTTGACCTTCCTGATTAATAGCTCCTCTCGTTTCAAATTGTTGAGAGTTTTCAGTCATGTTTGAAAAAAGTTGTTTGCCTACTTCAGGTGTTTTATCTACTTACGTCTCCACTGCTTGCTACATTTATCATATTTCTATCAATTGGCAATAATCCTTCGTAGAATTATTTGATGAGGTGTTGATCTGGACTTTGATAGTAGGGCAAAGTAGCACATAAACCAAGCAAGAAGTAAGTGGCCGATTAATTCAGATTTTAATTCAAAATCATATTTTCAATATTTGGAAATGTTACACGTAAAGGACTGTTGATTCAAATATATGTATGTGTATTTGCTTTCTCAAATTGTGCGTTGTCTTCTTAATTTCAGGATCAAAGTGCAGTTCTATATTCTAAATGCTTCGACGTGAGGTTTGATCATTTTCTTTGATATTTTTTTAGCTCTCGCTCCGAAAAATTTTATCATTTTGTTTTTTAATGATGCATTTGTGCTAAATTCTATGAATTCCTCAATTTTTCATCTCCCGAATAAAATCAAACATAATTTTTCTAATTAGACATAATATTTATTTAAAATAAGAGGAATTTGAACATCTATTAATAAATTATCTCCTATCAACCATGGAAGTTAAAATAAAGTTGCTAAATTGATAAAAGATAAATTGAAAACAATTTATTTATAACAAATTCCAACTCCATTATTGAAGTTCCACATAAGTTGTCTAGTGACTACTTCTTCTTCCAGGTCTTATATGCTCGAGCATCACTTGCACGGCTACAAATCAACTTGTAAATTGTAAGACATGGACAACATTCAAATATATAAGTTAGAAATAATATAAATGGGCTTAAATAACTTTTTTTCTGAGAGTTATCGCATTGTTGGAGAATAAGCAATAAGTTAAGTTGGAGTTAATTAGTCTAACATTTTCAAAAATAAATAAATAAATACCAGTTTTAATTATTAAATATAAAAAACTACTATCTAACTATAGTATATATTTTCTTGCATGGAACTTCAATTTTGCAAGCTTAGTCGTTTATATAACTTTGGTTAGAACTCTTATATTTTCAAGATGAGATCTTACTACGTCTTTTCAAGATGGTACTTCCTCATAAAAATAAAAATAAAGTAGGAACAATACGGCACCATTGATTGATTTTATTTCCCTATTTTTATCAATAAATTGGATTAAGATAATTAAACCATTAGATGGGTGATTTGTGAGATTTACAAGTGTAATTAAGGTGGTGTTTAAATCTCACGTGCAATGAGGAATAGATAATTTGGGGTCCCAAAGGCTCTGACTTGATTTCGAGACTGCCTTGGTTGCACGCATGGCATCGGAACACGTACAAAAAGAGTTGAAAATAATATTAGTGCATCTCATGGAATTCGGAATTTCACACATTTTATATTTCAAACTTTTTTGCTTTGCTCTCCATTTCGTAGACATTGTTTCCATTTCCACGTGAAATTTATTACAAGTCTGTGACTCTCCAAACCTTTTTCATTCAAAATATGTGCATTCGTCGTACGATTATTATTTAAATTTAATTAAGATCTCATTTCGATGCTTTTTTCTTTTTATTTTGTGGTTATGTGTTTTCTTTACAACATGTGTGGGATGGGGGATCGAACTCACAATCTGTTACCGCTAAGCTATATGCTCGCTTTAATCTAAGTTTATAGTTTACACGTATGTGCGAGTATGTTTTTTTCCCCCTTAAAATGAACAAGATTTATAAGGTCATCAAGAAATGTAATTTTTATTATTATTATTATTATTATTATTATTATTATTATTTTGGTGAGGTTTTGCCACATCTGAGGGGGTGTTTGAGTGAGGGAAATTTTGGAGCTCAATAATTTTTTCTTTCAATCGGGTAGAGAGTCAAACTTCTTTGAGCTTTAATTCAGCAGTAACTGATACAAATCTTTAACCAAGAGATCATGAGTTCGAATCTCTCACCTTACTCGTCGTGCTAAAAAAAAAAGTCAAATTTTGTCGCGAATGGATTCACCAAAGAGGCAATTCAGTCTAATTCTTCTATTTTGTGGGGTGGCCGATATTTCCCGATGTTGCTGGCCAGTCTTCATTTGGGCAGTTTAGTTTTATAAAAGTGTTGGTTCGTTCCAAAATAATAATAATAGTAATATTAATAATAAATAAGGTCATCAAGAAACGGAGAATCCCTTAGGTGTATGTGTATTCAATTTTTCATTTTCAAATAAAATTAAGGGAAAAAAAATATCTTTACCCTCATAATTTAACCAATGAATCAATCTTAATTAATTTATTAGCTTTATTTAATTAACTCAGAGTAGTCAAATTAATATAACTTAAACGTCTTACTTATTTTGACCATTCTTATAGTCACCCTCAAGTAATTATGGCGTTTGATTTGACTTTATATATAGAATATAAACCATATTGATATGTTCTGATAACTGTCCTGAGAATTTGAATGATGACGATAGATATTGCTATGTTTTTATTGGAATAATGTGCTTGAATTTGTACAGTGACACGAAAATGGTGTATTTTAGGTTCTAGTAAAGAAATTTGTTGAATATGTGATTCATTGACAGCAATTGTAACTTTTTTACAATTACGGTAGTCAATTAAAGTCTCAAAATGTATTCTAGGTACGTTTGAGCTAGTTGAGTACTTTAAAAGATTCAAGAGTGAGTTAGATATATTTAATTTTCTTTGAGCACAATATTTGTTCCTTACGGTCCAAAATTTCTCCGTAACCACGACGTTGTAGTTGGTTCGATAAAAAAAAAGGGATTCTTGGTTATTTATCACCACCCACAAATATTTCATTCTTTAAAAAATAATACTAACGATAATTCCTAATTATATTAATAAATATTTAAAATGTTACAACACAATATTTAAAAGATCCATGCCAAAAGTTTCCCATATAATCCAATGGATGGATTAATATATTCCACTTTATGTATTATGTGTGGTGTTTTTTTTAATTAAAATTGACACCAAAAAATAATGGGTAGTGCCTGACAAGTCAATGGAATAGAAGCTGAGAGGGGAATGGAATAGAAGCTGAACTCTATATTTTGTTGGTTTCTGAAAACAAATACCAGCTAAGCTTAGATTCTCCAAAATTTAAAAATTCAAAAATTGAATTTTGTATATAAATGAGAGCTTGCTTTGCTTTGGAAGTTGATTCAGGTCCACGTTTCCATTTATTACGATTCAAATAAAATAATTTTATCGAGAGAGGCTCCAGAGAGTGTTGATTAATAATATTTAATAAAACGATGGTATTAAATATGGTGTCCATATTTTCATATATCTATAGGTTGAACATCGACATTTTCATACTATTGAAAAATCAACACAATATTAAAAATATCAATAAAATCTCACAAATATAGACATATTATTAAGATCAATTATTTTTAATTTATTTAGAAATCGTGAAATCTTTATTTTTTGTTTTGATAGCTTTTTTGAATTTTGATTGGCATTTATCTGCTGGTATGATATGAACGTTTAAAACTTTGACCAAAACAAGTAGCTAAATTTATTTTAATTTGTTTAAACATCCCAAGAAAGTGGGTGACTTGGTTGACGCTGATCATCTTGAGATTCCCCTTCTTGTGATTAATCAAAATTAATTAGTGTCCAAGTCAAATCAAAAAGTTTGGTTGATAAGACCAATTTTTTCTTGACTTTAGGGGTTGTTTAATTATTTCTCTTGGTACTTGTTTTGGAACGAGGAGCTTTAAAGCTCATGAAGTTGGCCATTCAAGTTTGATCAATAGAGACCATTTTGAGCGGTCTATTTTCAGGATATGGAGGAGGAGATGATAAATGAAGAAATTGTTGGGGATGATGTGATCCTTCCAGGGTTCAGATTTCATCCGACCGACGAAGAACTCGTCGGGTTCTACTTGAAAAGGAAGATTCAACAGCTCCCTCTATCCATTGAACTCATAAGACAACTAGACATCTACAAATATGATCCGTGGGATCTCCCAAGTAAGTTTTCAAGCCAGTCATCGTTTATTCAACTTAATATTTGAATGTACCGATATATTCATGAGTTCCATCTCAAAATCAATTAGCAACGAGAGGAGTAGCGCATATCTATTTTTTTTTGGACCGGATGCTCATTTGAACTTTTGGACTATGATACTATATCAATATATTCATATTTATTTTTTTTCTTTTTAACGTGGGATTCTTAACCGCGTGTGTTTTATAACAAATTTGAAGAGCTGGCGAGGAGCGGGGAGAGGGAGTGGTATTTTTACTGCCCAAGGGACAGAAAATACAGAAACAGCGCAAGGCCAAACCGAGTGACAGGAGCCGGGTTTTGGAAAGCAACAGGAACCGACCGGCCCATCTACTCTGCAAATGGCGCCGCCAAATGCATTATTGGGCTTAAGAAGTCGCTTGTGTTCTACAGAGGCAGAGCTTCCAAGGCCTTCAAAACGGACTGGATGATGCATGAGTTTCGCCTTCCCCCGGCCCAGGCCCAGGCCCAGGCCCAACCCATCGCCACCAACGTTATTCCACCAAACGTATACCCTATCTCTTTTTCTTTGTTTAACAAATTTGAATTTTTTAGCTAAATTATTTTACGAATCTGGTTTAGATTTTGAAAACTTTTTTAAAAGTAGTAACAAAAAGGGGAAAAAAGTGCAAGTATGGATTTATAACCTTGATAAATACAGAGACGTTTTTGCATTTTCTCTCTTACTCGTTGGACCTTTAATGGTTCYTGTGCTCACTAGTCAACACCTAAGTATTTCCCGAAACAAAATTATTGAAAAGGGAAAATACTTAAGTTGTTTTTTTTTTTTTTTGCATTTTTCTCTCTTAGTTGCCGAACAATTCAATGATAATCAGGACAAAGTAAAATTCTCACCAATCCCAACACATAATCATTTTCCATTGAGAAGAGTACAATATTTGAGAGATTTAGATTACATATATCTATTTTTTTAATACAACCACACGAGGAAGTGAAGATTCGAACTTACAACTATGTAATCGGAGACGAGTGTCCTACCCAAATTAAGCTAAGTCCTAAGTTGGGGTTTGGATTGTATTAGTTATTAAGTGTGTGTTGTATGTAATTTTGTAGGATTCGTTGGCGATATGTCGGATATTCAAGAAAACAAGCACTTCCGGAGCTCCAAGAGGCGTTTCTTCTGTTTCTTGCAGCTTACCAAAAGATGAAATATCATCATACAAAATTAGCACCACCCCAAGTGATGTCATGCCTTGTAATTTGGCAAACTCGGGGTTTGATTATCCAGAGGCGAAACTCCCTGAGCTTTGGAATGATCCAAATGAGGCGTTGTTCAGTACATTTCCGGCCATGGATGCGTGGGAGATTCCCAAATCTGCAGCACTCGACGTCGACGTTTCCTCCATACTTGTAAATATGTGGTCTTCGGCCTCTTCGGATCTCCCTCGCACTCACTTGGGTTCCTCCTCGTCTGATCCGTTATTGCATGTCCAACGGAATGCCTTGTTAGAGTCACCATTGTCGCCGTCGATTCAATATCCTCTTACTTCCATTTGGGACAATTTATTGAATCACGATTGAGTATTAATATGTCTTTAAGTTCGTTCTATTAACTCATCGACCATGAGGAAGAATCTATTCTTCCTCACCATTTAAATATTTTGTCAATTTTTGAATGGTGATAAAGGACACGATTTGATAGTGAGGTTTTTTTTTAATTATTTATTTGTTTCCTGTTGTCAAAATTCGATATGGTCTTTTTTTTTGTCCGATTAATATGTTGGCAGGCACGTGATCAGGTTAACGTACACAGAAAGTCATTGTTGTACTTTTTCTTTTCATCTTCCCACGCTAGACTTGCTCTGAACTGCGATTGGAATGGAATCTTATAGAAATCAAATTAAACGAAATGATAATTTTTACAAGTACTTATTTCATTTTATTTTATTTCTAAAAAAATATATTTTTTATTTTATTTTTTGGCTTTAGTTTTTCTTTATTTAAAATTTAGCTAGTTAAAAAGATTTTAAAATATTAAAATTTTAAGAAAATCTTTACTTATGAATAAAAAATTTGACGATCTTATAACATTTAGTATCGAGAAACATATAAAAATTATTAATTATTGAAGTATGTGACTGTTGGGGGTTGATTTAAGCATACACGTGGCAAGTATTGAGTGGATATGCAAACTGTTACACGTGGCTTATGTGAGTCGAAAAATAACGACCAAGTATTCATGTTCGGCTCACCCAATCGGTCGAGCCGAACAAGTTCACTTTGATTTACGTTCTTACAAGAATGTGAGATTCAATTGGCTTTCCTCAGCTCGGTCATACCTCCGACAAACTCCACGATAGTACGCCGCGTTTCACTGTAACCTTAAAGAGTTGTTAAGGCTGTGTCGGGAATGCTGTCGGGGGTCCTGCCTATAAATAGGATCATTTCCCTCATTTAAAGGTACGCGAACATTCTGATTTTCTCTCGATAAGCTCAGACTTTTACTGACTTTAGCATCAGAGTGCTCACTTTGTCTTGCAGGTCCGGTTTTAGGAGGTCACGGTTCAGCCCACCCTGCTCGAGCCAAAGATTTCTGAGTTGGGCAACTTTTTGACTCAACAGTGACCATCGTGGGTTTAAACTCATTCTCTTTTAATTAACCTTGACTCATTTAGATCAATGAGCCATCAATGATGATTTATTATTATTATTTTGAAGTAGAAATAATTATATGAATAACATAATAAATATATGTTTTAAAATATAGTGGAAGGTTTAAAATTTTACAAAAATAGCAACGTATAACTCATATAAAGAAGAAAAACAAACTTAGTTATATATGAAAAAAAGGGTAGATTATATATATATATATATATATATAACTATGTTTGGGCAACAAAACTATTTAGTCTCTCGATTTTAAAATCTGACACTTTCATCCTTAAAGATTTAGAAAATAATTCTTTTTAAGTCTTTTGTCCACTAGTCAATGTACGTCTAAGACCAAGAGCACACCTTCTTTACAATCGATCAAGGACTCTATTTCTACCGGGTGATGCCCTTTTAAGAATGTTTGGGCCACCTACCAGAGAATGATGAACAAGATGTTCGCTAAGTAGATAGGCTTGAACATGGAGGTACATATGGAAGATATGCCCGTGAAAAGTAGGGAAGCCAATTATCATGAAGCATACCTGAAGAAGGTGTTTGACATACTGAAAAGGTATAACATGAAGCTGAACCATAGCAAGTGCATCTTCGGCATCACCTTTGTGAAATTCCTCGGCTTCACCAGCGAGGGATAGAAGCGAACCCCTAAAAAATTCGAGTTGTCCTTGAAATAGAATTTCCCAAGAACTTAAAGTAGCTACAAAGTCTCAACGCCAAGAGAGCTTACCCTAAATCGCTTCGTGTCCCCGGCTAGTGCTAAGTGCCCCTATTCTTAAAAATCTTGAGGAAGGGCACCAAGTATAAGTGGATGGACGATTGTGAGAACGCCTTCAAGCAACTAAAAGAGTACCTCGCAGCGACGCCTCTCCTATTGAAACCAAACCTGGACAACGAGCTCTACTTGTATCTGACCTTGTCCGACGCTACCGTTAGGTCATCACTCGTCAAAGAAGAGGGCGATCGCCAGACCCTCATATACTACATGAGTTAAGGCGACGCAGAGATGCAATGCCCACGAGTGGAAAACTCATACTTGCCTTGCTCATTATAGTGTGGAGACTACAACCTTACTTCCAAGCTCATAAGGTGGGATTCTAACAAGTTTTCCACGGAAGCATGTACTCCATAAACCTCTAGAAGCCTGAGGTGTCAGGAAGGTCATTGAAGATGAGCAAGAGCTCAATGAATACAACATAGAGTATCACCAAGGACTGCCATGAAGTGGCAAGCGATAATAGGTTTTCATGGAGAAAATGACGGCCCGATGGGATTGTGACCAATGAAGACCTCAAGAGTTCACATCGAGGCAAGCTCTCCTGGACTCTTTTCATAGATGTGTGCTTCAACGAGTAAGGGTGCGACGTGGTCTCTTACTCATGTCACCATATGGTGAATGTTTCGAATATGCAATGTGTTTCTCCTTTCAAGCTTCAAACAATAAAGTCGAATATGAAGTCCTAATAATAGGTCTCTGAGGTGACAAGTGAAGTCAACGCCCGATACTTGTCAATACTCAATAGCTCCCAACTAATCGTTAATCAAGTCCCATACAAGTATCACGCAAAGGAAGAAAGGATGGCGATTTATTTGGCTAAGGCAACAACCCTACTTTAGCACCATCTTCGGCGACGACGACGACGTTGACAAAAAATTAAAAAATCAAAATCAAAGTAAATAATTAAAAATGTTGGATGAATTCAATTAATTTTGTTATTTTGTAAAATTGTAAATACAATGTTATATACAATATGACAAATTTTTAGTTTTTCTTTTTTGCAATTACCTCTCGCTGTTAGAATAATCATATAAATTTTCCTTTTTGATCGACGTGGAAGAAGGCGATGGGAAACGACTAAAAGAGCGTCGCAACCGTTGCCATTGGACATTTGGCGGTTAACTGAACACAGACTCCAGGAAATTTGGAATTTCAAATGATCCCTCGTCCCTCCCAAATTCAGTTACTCCTCCTCCGATTCTTTATATAAATCTCCTCCTCCATTTCCAAATCCGCAGACCAAATCAAAATGGATCCACACACAGTATCCTGCACCGCCGATGAAGATCTCGGAATCAAAATCTATACTGCAACACCCCCCAACGAGCCCTCCTCCATCTCCGGCGCGGCGGACAACACTGCCGGCGGCCGGAAACGACGCGCAGTGGCCAAAGGAATGCAGAAAACGCTGTCCAAGACTTCAATGCTGGTGAACTTCCTCCCCACCGGCACCCTCCTCACCTTCGAGATGCTCCTCCCCTCCGTCTCCGGCAAAGGCGACTGCTCTCCGGTCAGCACCATGATGATCAACCTCCTCCTCGCCCTCTCCGCCCTCTCCTGCTTCCTCTTCCACTTCACTGACAGTTTCAAGGGCCCCGACGGCAAGCTCTACTACGGCATCGTCACTCCGACCGGTCTCGCCGTCTTCAAGTCCGGCCTCGCCGACATCCATGTCCCTAAGGACGACCGATTCAAAGTCGGCTTCACCGATTTCGTCCACGCCATCATGTCCGTCATGGTTTTCATGGCCATCGCCTTCTCCGACCACAGAGTCACCAACTGTCTGTTCCCGGGCCATGTCGACGACATGGAAGAAGTCATGGAGAGCTTCCCTCTCATGGTCGGCACCATTTGCAGCGGCCTGTTCTTGGTGTTTCCCAATACCAGATATGGCATAGGATGTATGGCCAATTGAATTTCAATTTGATTGCCCTTTTTTCCCCCTTTTTCCTCCAATTGTCATGGATGTATGAATCGGTCGGATTTGGTTTAGGATTTGGTTTTGGATCGAACCGCTCGAGAGCATTCGACGCGTTTTGCGGAATCCGAGTCCATTATATATAAAGCTGAATCATAAACAATTGTGTAATTTTATTTTATTTTTGAATAAAGAGATCTTCCTCCTCTCCGAGACCGAGCATTGCCGGAGGAGAGCAAGACCGAGACAGAAAGGGCGATATTTTTCACGATTGCCCTCTCCGTCTCGATCGACAATAATAAATCAACCCCTTTAATTACCTCTTCTTTCCCTTTTTTTCTTTTTGTGTATACCACTCTTTGATTTTTGATTTCTTCTTGTTGTGTTTTGAGTGTTATCCATGTTTTGTGATGCATTTCGTTCCAATTATCCACGCATTAACCCCTAGACTTTGATGCGACGGTTGAATGCCCGTAAAAGGGACGATTCGAAAATTGTCAAGATGGATCCGACCAAGCTGCAGGTTAGACCCAGCAGCAGATCGAATTTATTCGCCAGGAACAACGCTAAGAACTCTTCTTCCAAATCCAAATTCTGGGTTTCTGCGTCGCTTTTCCTTGCCTTTACTTTGTTAGTCTGCTATCTGTTCGTCTTGACGACGAATCTGCGGAGCTCTGTGAAGAGAAGGTACGGAATCGTTATCGATGGAGGTAGCACCGGGACCCGAATCCACGTGTTTGGGTACAGAGTGGACGGGGTTTTTGATTTCAGGGAAGAGGGATCGGCGTCGATGCGGGTGAATCCTGGGTTGTCGGCGTACGCAGAAGATCCAGACGGAGCCGGCAGGTCTTTGGAGGAGCTTTTGGCATATGGGAAGAATCGGGTTCCGAGAGATCAATGGGGAATCACTGAAATTCGGTTAATGGCAACGGCAGGGTTGAGAATCCTGGAAGTGAATGTACAGAACCAAATATTGGAGTCCTGCCGGCGGGTACTCCGGTCTTCGGGGTTTAATTTCCGGGATGAATGGGCATCGGTCATTACAGGTATAGAACTTCTCAGTCTTTTGAATTGTTTGTGGATATATGTCATTTCAAACCCATATATTGTTTTGCTTCTAATTTTGTTTAGAAATGCTTATCGAGCGATGTGTGATGTAAGTTGTGGCTGTATTAGGCTCTGATGAAGGGACTTATGCGTGGGTTGCTGCTAACTATGCACTTGGCACTCTTGGAGGTGATCCTCTCCAGACAACTGGAATTATTGAACTTGGTGGAGCTTCTGCTCAGGTTTGATTTTGTCTTGTTTCCTTCTAATAATATGTAGTTTAATTGTTTATCATCAAAAAAAAAAAAAAAAAGATTCTAGGGTCTTGCATGCCGAACATGAAGTATTTCATAGTGTTTTCCAGAGAGAGAGAGAAGTGTAACCTATAACTAGTTTTCTCAAAGCATTTGAACTACAAAGCTAACTAGAAATTACGTTTTCATATCTGCACTAAATGAGGGATGTTGAAGTTGAGTGGTTCTTGTTATGATGTAGCGAGTCACTTGACTTATACATAGAAAAAAATGATGGAATAAGGCATCTCCTCATCCTAAGCACTCGAAATGGAATTTAATAAAAGGCTGAATCCAACGTTAGAACACTCAAAAGGGAATATAGAAAAGTTTTTGTGCAGTTTTGTCTGTGAGGAGGTGGTATGCTGTTCAATCGTCCAAAAACTACAAAATTCCTTATTTGTAACTTTTCCTTTAAGCCACCAACTGGAAAGGATCTCCAGAAACACCAAATTTAGATTTTCATGAAAACGCTAAACCATTCCGAACTTGTTGCATATTCTGGATCTGTTTCCCACAGACAGAGAATAACGAAAAAAGAGGTTTCTGGTTTTTTTCTCGCTCCTATAGTTCATATAGACTTGTGGAAGAAGTGATATGTGAGTTTTTCTTTTGGACTTTGTCTCGAGTGTTTATGCTTTTGGTGTTTCTTCTCTTTGCGCTCTTGGAAATGTGATTGTTTCTCATCTTAATTAATGAACGTATTTGGTCACACAGATTTTGAAGTTTTCTTTTTTCTTTTGGATTTATTAGTCATGCATGCTTTTAATTGCAGTTCTAGTTTCTTTTTAACTATAAAATTGTTTGAGAAACAAAGAGGTTTTTCCTTTAACATTATAGAACATAAACAAGAAGTGAAACAATTAAGATTGTGGAACCTAATTCAAAGACGATGAATGCACAACTAACATTGTCAACCTAGAAAGGAAAAGGAAAATGAGAAGAAAAGGATTATAAAAGATAAGAAAAAAAAGGAAAAAAGCTGGAAAATCCTTTTGATTAAAGTAAGATATATTGGAAAAAGAAGCATCCAACAGAAAAAGATGAACTCAAGTCTGCAGCCAAGGAGTAAGTAATTGGAAAAAAAAAAATAGGGAAGGAGATTGAAAAAGTATTAAAAATATGGGAAAATACTCAGATGAAGATGAGATGAGTTCTACAACAACAAAAGGGTCTTAGGGCTATTCGCTTCATGGTTTTTGCCATGAATATCGAGTGCCAATTTCACAGGTTACAATCTTTAAAACTCAGTAAGTATCAAGAGCAAAAACCCCACCAACAAGGGTTTCTGTTTATTACTCCTACTAACGGGTAGGATTTTTATTGTTGGGAAATGATTATTTGTATAAATAGTTTTAATTAATTAACACTAATTAGTTTCATTAACTGCTATCAATTGTTTAACTAACATTAATTTTTTGTTTAGCTCTAATTGATTTTAATTGCTACCTCGAATTTTATCTTTTTTAATACTAATCTGAGTTATTTAATATTAATGTTGATTAATTATTTTTATTTACTAATATTTTAATTGATTGAAATCAACATAATTTTAGCTAAAATATCTTAATTATATGTTAATCAATTAATCACGAGATAAATGTAATAATTTCTTTAATAATATTAATCATGAGTTTTGCTTTAGTTTGGGTTTTCTAAAAAGGTCATTTCTGATAGAATTCACTATTAGTTATCCACAAATGAGAGGCACATAGTTTGGGAGGGAGAAACTCTTGACTTCCGAAGTGTAAAATATATACTTCTCTAGATCCACCCTAATTCTACTACACACTACCCGACACTTGTGCTCACATCGTTCCTACTCTCTTAGTTAAATCACATACCTATCAGTGGCCTCCTTAGAATCACCCACACGCACTGAGCCCCTCCCTTCTCTCTTTTCTCTGACATACATGGTATTGTAATAAATAGTGATGTCTGATTTACTTCTCTTTCAGGTTACTTTTGTTTCAAATGAATCAGTACCTCCTGAATTCTCACGTACAGTTAAATTTGGCAGTATGACTTATACTCTTTACTCCCACAGCTTTCTACATTTTGGGCAGGTAAATACTTATTTTTTTGAGCTATAGTTATTATCTCTCTTGAATATTATATAATTTTGTGTCTAAATTGTTTGCCTATAGCTGATTTTCTAAGCCTCTGATGAGGTTTTCTACAAAACTTCTGTGGGACTAAAAGTTTTATGTAGGGGAAAAGATAGGATATGGGGGTCTTTTTTTATGAGTAATTTTTTGTACTTGATCTTATAGTGAGGTAAAGAAGAGGCAAGGAGCTCTTCAAACTCCCTTGACTATTACCCTGATGCATAAATAAACTGGTTCCTATCAGTTTTTGGTGTTAGAGCCATTGGGTCTTTGGGGATTGGAGGGAAATATGGAAACCATAAATAATGAGCGATGGGCTACGGTTCAAGTGACAATGGAATAAAAATTATCAGCAATGTAGGCATGGATGGAGGGAAAATTGACTTTGGAAATTATGGCCAAGCAGTTTGAAGGGAGTCGAGTTAGGAGGTTCTTTTGGAAATCGACTAGAGGATAAAGGAAAAGCACCGATGGAGGAAACAAGTAAAGAAAAATAGGAAGAGAGTAATATGATGGGTTTTGAAGGGTTGTTACACTCTGTTGAGGTATACTCCTTTCCTAATCCTGTCCATTTCAGTAATAGGCTTATTAGCATCATTTTTAAATAATTCATAGTTATGAACAAACATGCTAATTTTTTACCTTTTTACTTATTTCATTCATTCATGCATTATTTCAAGCATATTCCATATTTCTTTAGCAAAGTTACAAGCAGATACTCAGTTAAATTCATCATTACCATTACCAAACATGTAGTTCATGGCTCTAGCATTAATAGATAATGTTTTTTTGTCTTCATCAGTAAGCTCATTTCCATTCTTAGCCACATCAACCTATGGAAGTTCAGTCCAACCTTGCAGCCTCCTGACCTAGTTGGCCTCTAAGTTGGAGCTTAATGTACCTTTAGTCATGTTCGGTATTTGCCCTCTTTTTAACTCTCGTATTGATGATTGTGAAATTTTCACTCAATGGGGCTTAGTTGACTGAAGAGGTCACTTGAGAGACTTCTAGTTCTAGCTTATTGGCGTAATAGTTCTCTGAGTTACTCCTCAGTTACATGGTGAAATTTTGGGTGGGCGGTATTGGTAAGAATAAGCCCAAGCGTCCAATGCACTTCTCGTTTGCATGAAGGCTAGGGGAACTATAGAATAGAGTTAGTTCTGGGGAAAGGGCAGGGACTAATAGGTCATTTGGTAATACTGAAAAATTATAAGTCTGTTAGAAGGTAGGGATAACCATACATATGTCAGTCATGTAAGCTGAGAGGCTCAGTAAGTGTATGGCCTAGGGAAGAGAGTTCTCTAGTAGATGGAGAACCAGGCCTCTCGAATGCTTGAGTAGCTTGTAATGCTTTGATATTATAATATGGGATGGTGCCAGTTTGTTTGGGCCCAAACAGTGGCCTATTCAGGGCATTTGAGAGACTGTAGAACAGAAGGTCTTTGCACTGACCACACCACTTTCTACTGCAAGCCACGAATCACAGCAATAAACAAGTGGTTATGGGTGATTTACAACCGTTTTTAGAGTTTCTATGTGCTTAAAAAGAAGGTTAGGCATAAAATTACTTCTTTTTTCCCAAGGTCTGTTTCTGATTAAAGTTATGGTTGTATTATTTTACCTCCTTTTTTGTCTTTTCATCTTGAATGTGAAGTGTTCTTTTCATCTTGAATGTGAAGTGTTTTTCTTTTCTAAATTTTTTTATGTAAAACTTCTTCCATGTTTCTAGAGTCACTTTTGTGAACTTTCTTTCTTTGTAATGTTTTAAAGCCTTCAGAGTTGTGATTAGTCTTGTTTTGCAGAATGCAGCACATGACTCCTTAAGAGAAGCACTTATTTCAGGAGAGTTCAACTCAGGTAAATGTGCATGCCTTTTCTTCTATAAACTATCTAGTTTTGAAGTAAATTAGTATGACATTTTGAGTTTGTCTGTACAGCTGTCTCTGTTTACAGTCTGTCAGGTCTGATGTCACAATCTGGATCGGATGATACAGTTGTAGAGAAAAGTTATTTCTATTATGTAGCAATATCTTTGAACTGTGTACTTCGTGGGCAATTATGGTTGTCTTGTAGTTGTTGTCCACTTTTCTTATTTTCTATATCCATAATTACTATTAAGAACGTCGTGGCCTACATCTTCAAGATTGCTTATTTGATCTTCAATATGCCCCTTTTCAAAATGTCTATATTGACCATGATCGTACTTTTGAACTTGTTGGATCTAGTTTTAAAAATATGGTTGCCAATTTGCTTAAAATGCTTTCCTGAAGTTAAACTACAGACAAGACTGTGATGGATCTTGAACTTCCTATTTGATTCATCTACAAGGTCTGTTATGTTTAGATTTTGCCACTTGGACTCTCTGTCCCTCTCTCTGATATGTTTGTGGTTGTGCTCTCTGCCCTCCTTTTTCCTTTATTTGGTGATATGATGCTAATCATGTTGAGGGAGTGAGAAGGCCCTTGTCGCCCATTCATTCTTTGCATTGGGTTTGACGTGATTGGGTTAAGAGCATTCAAATTACTTGTTTTTGAGTATTCTCAAGTTTTCGATTCTCATTTGTTCCTGCAGCTAAAACTCTTCCAAGTGAATTTCCTGTGGATCCTTGTACCCCCAGTGGGTACTCCCATATTATGGAGTCTGAAAAACTTTCTCCAGGTATTATGGTGGAAAGGAATAGGTATCTATCAACTTTCCATTCTAAGGGAAATTTCTCGCAGTGCAGATCTGTTGCTCTAAGGCTGCTGCAAAAAGGAAAAGGTTATACAAATTTGATTTTTATGGTCATCTGATAGCTCATATTTCTTTTAATGGTGCATAACACTTCCCATTTTTTTCTCTCTTTTTTCCCCTGCAGAGAAATGCACCAATGAAAATTGTTATGTAGGATCCATTTTCACACCAAAGCTTAGAGGAAAGTTTTTGGCGACGGAAAATTTCTTTTACACGTCAAAGGTATGCTTCCCCCACTTTCTTCATATGTTCATGAATATTCTTTAGTATGTTTCTTATTACTTACATGTTTATACTCTTTATTGGTTTCGTCTTTTTCTCTCATTCCTATGCGTAATTTGATGAAGATGTACAAGCTTGGGACTCATCGTTTATGTTTTTTATGGACATTTCTGGTCTTTTTTTAGTTCTTCGGTCTAGGATCGAGAGCTTTTCTATCAGATCTAGTGGTGGCTGGTGAGGAATTCTGTGGTGAGGACTGGTTGAAGTTGAAAAAGAGATACAAGCAATTCAATGAAGAAGACTTGCCACGCTATTGCTTCTCATCAGCATATATCGTGGCCCTACTTCACGACAGTCTTGGAATTGCTTTAGAGGATCAGAGGTACGTTGATCATCTCGTGCACATTATGTGCATGTACTTGTTTCGCATATGCAATTAGTCGTTGTTTCTTACCGCTTGAGAACCTTTTTGTGATTAGTATCACTGCTGCAACACATGTGAACAACATGCCACTCGATTGGGCATTGGGAGCTTTCATCTTGCAAAGCACAGCTGCGATAGAGTCGATTGTGCCGATAGAGTCAGAGTCAGAGCAATGGGATTGGATTGCAGCAATCATCGGCCACGAGTCTCCCAGTCTGCTCTCGCTTATTGCGGTATCAATTCTGTTGTTGTTTATAGCATGGTCTGTGTCAAAGTGGAGGAAACCTCAGTTAAAGACGATTTACGATCTAGAGAAAGGACGGTACATAGTGACCCGTGTGAGTAAATGCTGACTGAAACCAGTTTACTACTAACTTTCCTGGATGGTCTAGTGACAGGGAAAGAACACAAACACCTACACTACTACATTAATTATAATACAAAATTCAGCCTCAGTATAGTGTCCATAGAAGACCAACCTGTAAGTCCAGGTAGTTGTTTGAGATTGTATATTCTGTGATTTTCATTCACATCTCATGTAGACTACCAACTGTTCTAGAAAAAGCTTCTCTTTCAGCATAGCGCGGGAGCACGGGCTGCCGTTGCCGTTTTGGAGTTAGGGCGAAATGGAATTAATTGTAGGATTCGATCGATTCCCTTTACGTTTAGAAGATGTTGTTTTGATGTATTATGACTGATTTTATGATGAAATTTAGATGTGCTTTCTGTGTCGATGTTGTGGGAGATTCTATGTTTTTAGTTTCTCCCAAGGAGAGGAAGAGATGGTTTTGAATTTTTCTTCATCTTTCTCACTTCCCATTACCCTCCTTAAACCTCATTGTAGATAACATATCTTACTTTTTGATGACTTAATTAAGTGATGATAGCCATAGCATTTGTGCAACCAATTTCTCACAAATGTTTATTACTCTTTTTAATTTCAACCATCACATATTACTTTTATTCATACTTTCCATATATATATTTTTTCAACTACATTTATTAACAATTTTATATTTCCAAATTCCTGTTTGATTTTTTTTTTTTTACTTTTATTCCAATGACTTAATCTTATTTTTAATAGCCTTCAAATATTCTTTTTATATTTTAATTATCTTCTTTTCGAAATATTTCTTTTTCTAGTGCATCTTTTTTTTCACTAATGTAATAAATATATACTCCTCAAGCTTATATAATATCTATTTTTTATCTTTTTTTTTCACTAATGTAATAAATATATACTCCTCAAGCTTATATAATATCTATTTTTTATTAGTATATACTCGACTATTAGATTATATTATATATTCCAACGACTATTATATAATATATATTTTTATTTTAATCTTCTTATATACCGTCTCAAAAATGTTATATATAATATATATTTTTTCATAGTTATATACTGAAATTAGAAGTTTATATAATCTATACGACCTCTAATGGGTCAAATTCGGGTTCGCACCGTCGTTCACGAAGGGTCACTGCTCGTTGCAGGTCGTGGGTCGTAGGTGGCACTGGAGCGGTGGAGGGACGTAGCCGATGCAAGGGAGTCACGCTGTCGGATTTCGTGGGTAGTCCGAATATTTTTTTTCTCCCACGAACAAGCAAATAAGCATAAAAGTAATAATTTTTAATTGGTTCGAATTAGTTCATGATTTAATGTAGTATAAATTTTCTTTCCATCCTATTTTGGTCCATGTACTTTCAAGTATTGGTTTATTTTAGTCTCTCTACTTTGAAAATCATTTTGGTATATGTACTTTAAACTTTGGTTCATTTTAGTTCCAAAATAAATATTTCAAGAGTACATAGACTAAAATGAACCAAAAGTTTTAAATATAGAGCACAAAACAAACATTTTCAAAGTATAAAATTAGGATTGAAAGTATAGGAACCAAACTAATATTTTAACCAAGAAAGAAACAAGCGTGTGACTCACATTCGAAAATCTGCATTTTTTCATCGACTGTTTTTGCTCCTCTTTCTTAAACTGGGAAAATAAGAGATCTGAGAATTTCCATGAAGAAGAAGAAAATCTAGAGAGAAGAGAAGAAGATAATTATAGGAAGAGAGATGAATAAAAAGAAGAACAATGAGTTATTGTAAGAAGGATAAATAATAAATATGTAGTTTCACATAAAAGTAACATTGACAAAAATATAGAAAATTTATGTTTCTAGAAATTAGACAGAAATCTATTAGGAGTGCAGCCTGAAATGGTCATTCCATGCTGATTTTCCTTTTATAAACTTGTTTTCAAAGCAAGTTCTCGGCGGCCATTGGAATTTGACTGTTTTAAATGGAATATTGTGGTGTTTTTCTTTTTTTTTTTTCTCTGAAAATATGTTATCAATTATGATATATTCAAAATCATGGCGAAGGGAAGGGACAAAAGAGAGAAAAGTTTCTAATTTAAATTGGTAACGTAGATGATTGACGGCCGTCGGCCACGGGGAATGGCACGTGAATTGACGCAATTACCCTTGGTGGCCGTTGGATTGGACTGTACGCAAAGACGTGGAAGTTTCGGGCGAAGAAAACTCCGCTTCTTCTCCCCTATATATAGCGAACCAGGTCCACCCTGCTCCAAATTCTTCTTATTTTTAGTCTTTTGCGGAATCTTTGTACCACTCGCGGACCCATCTTCAAATTCATTTCTACTCTCGCAAAATCTTCTTTCTCATTCCGCACCTAACGCGCTTTCTCTTCTTCTCCCAGGTACGATTTCCCTTTTTCTTTCTCTCAATTTCACAATTTTTTTCATCTCAATCTACTTTTCCTTGTTTTGTCCCCTCCAATTTTGATAATTTCTTCCCGTAATTGATCGAGTTGTCCTCGTAGGGTTTCTTTTTTCTGGGAATTCACCGTGTGGGTTACTTTTTCATGATATAGGGGTTTCTGTGCGGTTTATAGGACAATGAGCGACCATCTCGTCCTGTATGTTGATCATTTGATTCGACCAGTCGCTCCAGTTGAACCTGTGTCCGAGCCGGCCGACCCTGTTCCTTCTGCACCGCGTGAAGCTGTTGTGGACTCAGCTGCGGCCGGTCCTTCGTGTTCGACTGCAACTGCGGTTGCGGATGATCGGACGGTGAAGCAGCACGCACCCAATGAGGAGGAGCCTCTGATTCAGGCCGCTGAGTGCCGCATTTGTCAGGAAGAAGACAGCCTCAATAATTTAGAAACTCCCTGCGCATGTAGTGGTAGTCTTAAGGTATTACCCCTTTTTTATTATTTGTTAAATTTGAATTTGAATAATCAGGACATGGAAGCCCCTTTGAATTCGGTCCAGTCTTTTTCACTGCGTTGTATTTGTGTTTGTGCTGAATTGGAAACTTTGGAACTAGTTCTTTCGCAAGAATCTGCTTCGGTGTACAGTATTGGTTAAATTGAGTTTAGTACTAATATGCTTTTTCCTGTCTTGTGGATGGGTTTAAGTCTGTATTAATTGCTTTGATTTCTTTTTCCTTTTAATTTCTTCTTACGTTCAATGTGATATAGTTTTCATAGAAGCAAGCTGGAAAATGATATAAAATAAAATCTTGAGAGGTTTTATATCAGTAAGGTGGGGAGGACTGGGTTGAAGTACATGAAATAATTTGGTTGTTTGGTAATTAATAGTTTTATTCTTAGCTTTGTTAGTTGAATATTTTCTATAACTTTTTCCCCAATGCTATGATCGACAGGAACTTTTGTGTGCTGGTATGTGGCATATTATCTGAGTTATAAAGTTGCTTGATAAAACTTGACAAGTATGGCTATCATGCATGGGGTGTCGTGGTAGAATTATAGTGATCCATGACTCTTATTTTTTTTCTTCATAATGTAACTAAATCAGGTTAGGTTCTTTGAATTGACCAATATCAATACCCATGGTGAAATTTGTCGGGTTTTTTTGTTTATTAATTTTTTGCATGTGTCTGAATGTTTTTCTGTTCAGTATGCTCACAGAAAGTGCGTTCAACATTGGTGCAATGAGAAAGGGGACATAACTTGTGAGATATGTCATCAGGTATGCACGATGATTTTGATTTGATCTCATATCATTTTAGCCTTATTTTTAATTTTTAATCTTGCATTTCTAGAATTTCAAATAAATTGGTAATTCCTTATACTTCAGCTTGCGAGAAAGTCTTCCTACATTGTTTTTGAACTCATAAGTCTTTGAATTTTAAAAAATTGCAGGATTTACACTTGGAGTTAAAAATTTTCCATTATTACTGTTTTATAAAGTGCATGTTTAAGTACGCTTTGCACTTAAGTGGAAGAGGGAGACCATGCCTAGTGAAGGCGAGGCAACCTCTATTAGCGTTTTCATTTTATGTCTAAAAAATGTATCTTCCACCCCACCCAGGGGACTTGCGAATGAGAGGGAGGAAAACCGGAAAACCATACAATTCAGACGTTTGTATGGGTGGGTTGTTGTTGTAGGTGAGGGAGTAGTTGGAGAAAACCATACAGTTGAGAAATAGAATTTGCTACTCTAGAAACCGTCTGAATGAAGGAGACTTTCGGCTTTCTTTTTATTCTCTTTCTTTTTCTGTCTCTCTCAATCTCGACCATCTCTTTGTTTATTCTCTCCGACTCCTACCTTTTCCCTTCTTTTCCCTTGATATGTCCATATCTGAAAAGCCATAATAGTGGTTCACTATAGGGCATTCAAAAGGATTTGGGTCTTTTGGCAATGGGCTGGATTCGTTTTTTGGGCAGGTTGAATCTGGCGTCAAGGAAGATTGTTCCAACATGAGAGGAGAAGATGAGCAGCATGTCTCAATAGGAGGGTTCCCCCTTTTCTCACGTTCAACCAAAATTAACGTGGATACTGCTTGGGATGTGCTATGAGTGGAGAAGCTAGTTGGGGCATTATTGTCAGAGATGATAGAGGTGAGGAGTGGCTTCCAAGAAGATGCAGGTTATTTATTGTTAGAGTGTAGTGATTGATGAGACATTTGGCTGACTAGATAAGCGTTGGTGTTTGGGGCTTAAGAGATATAGTTGTTGAAACTTACTGTTTGTTGGTGAAATCTTGATCCTGTAGCCGTTCCATTGCATAGTCCGGACCTTTTCAGAAATGGATTGTTTGTAGGACTTCCCGCCCTTGTAGTTGGTTGGATGCCCTCTCTATTTGCACGGTGCATCAGTTAGACTATGAATGCTTCTTTTTTCCAATTAAATAAAATGAAATGTTTTTTTTTCTGAACCAAAATGCCATACTCTCTGTCTGTACTTGTTATTGAATGGTAGGATGAGATGGTGTGCATTCACAGCATCTTTTGTGACGATGTTTTCTTGTTTTAATTCCTCATTGATGTCGGTATGTTGTATTCAATTCCCAGTCTTATCAACCTGGATATACTGCACCACCTCGTACTGAAGAAACTGCTATTGATATGGAGTAAGTTTAATTTTTCTTTTGGTAATATCTAATTGTTCCGTGAATAGTATTATTGATAAGCTAGTTTCTGAACACCTGCAAGGGTTTTTTTCTTCATGTAATTTCTGTATTCATATTTGAAATATTGATCTGGATGTGGATATGCACAGGGGAAGATGGACCATCTCTGGTAATCCGTTAGACTTGAGAGATACTCGGCTATTGGCCATTGCAGAGGCAGAACGGCATTTCTTGGAAGCTGAATATGACGATTATGCTACTTCAAATGACAGTGGAGCTGCATTTTGCCGATCAGCTGCTCTTATTGTAGGTTTTCTAATACTCGTAGAAATAAAAAAGAAATTGCACCTTCTATCCTCTAGAATTTTCCATTCAGCTGTATCTGATGTTTCTATTTGATCTAACATGGCAGTTACTAGCCCTTCTCCTTCTGCGGCATGCATTGACCATAACAGATCCCGATGGAGAAGATGATGCATCTGCCTTTTTTTCTGTAAGTGGATATTGAGTTTATCTTCTTAAATTTGAAAGGAAAAATAGTGTGTATGATGGAGGATGGGTTTATAATCTGGATGGTACCTGTGACAGATTTTCTTGCTTCGTGCTGCTGGTTTTCTCTTACCCTGCTACATCATGGCCTGGGCCATCAGTATCTTGCAGCGTCGAAGACAAAGACAGGTTGGTGATTTGGGAGTCGTTTCTATTTTCAAAATTTTGTTCTTAAAAACTATTTTGCAGACTAATTTTTCTAAACTGTTCTGTTTAAATTTTAAGAATGGTTTGTGTGGGGTGTGAAACTACAGGAGGCGGCAGCACTGGCTGCAACACAAGTAGCGTTTGTACTACAACATGGGCAGCACAGAGGTTTACAATTTGCGATTGCATCATCAGGACCACCTCTCACCCCTCACCCACATCCACACCCTCACCCTACTGTTTGAACCGCAGCCCGCCCCAACCGTGTAATATTATATATTATATTTTCGAACCAACCTTCCTTCTACTACTTCCACTGGTCATCATCATCATTTTTATGTACAAACAATTTCCTCAACTGCAATTCTTCGCTGCCTGTAATCTCTGAATCTTTCCATCTTCCAAAACCAGGTACCCTGCTAACAAACTTCATTGTTTTTTACGTGCCCTTCTACTCCACGTGATTGCTTGATTGATGCTTCTTCTTGTGCTTATGGAAAACAAGGAAGAGATTTAGGGGGCAAACATAGGTTTTCCTCTAAAGAATTTGCTATTTCTTGTACAATCTGTAGGGTATCTCAAGAATTTGGTATTGCATATGAAAGAACAGAATGGTAAGCAAAACAGTAGAGAGCGTAATAAGATCTTAGTTTTGGACAAGATCGAGTCAATTTTGGAGAGAGGAAAAAGGTTAATGATTTGATCTTTATTCCATTGTTCTTGCCTCGACTCCTGTATTATCATACTGCTAAATGATATGTGTGCGATGGGTTTGTTTTCAATCATTGTTTTGAAATTGTTTCCCGGGGTCATATATAGGGGAGCAAAGCTTAGACTCCCGGTTATTAAAAAAAAGAAAAAAATCATTGTTTTGAAATATTGAAAGAATTTTTACACATTATTTTAATATGGTTAAATATCTTTGCTTTCTAAATTTTTATCAACGAAAATGATTGTTTTGACTGTTGAATATGTTTCTCAGTAAGAAATGTAGAATTTGAATTTTGATTATTATAGGAAGCATTTAAATTCCTAATAATAGATCATTGAACTTTAAAAAGTGTATGATATGTTGAACTTTTATTTTTATGTCTGGTAGAAATTTGAATTTTTAATATCATATCGGATAGATCTTTGAATCTTAGAATGTTTTATAGATCGTTAAATTTGTAATTTTGTCTAATAGGTTCTCGACTTATATGTTGTTTTCACTTTTATTTTTTGGATGTATTGGTCATAGTTAAGAATCTATTAGACATGAAATTGAAAGTTTAGAATTGAAAATTGAAGTTGAAAGTTTCAGAAATTATTTAAAAAGTACTTTTTAAGTAAAAAAAAAATCTAATATACATGAAATTAGAAGTTTAGAGATATTATTAGATATTGATGAGATGTAACTTTGAATGTGAAATAATTAAACTTGTAATTTAGCATTTATTTTTTTATGCAACTTTTTTTTGATATCATATTGTACAATAGTAGATTAATGAATATTAGTTGCATTAAAAATATCATTTCTCAATAATTATAAGAATTTAGATCTTATAAAAGGGTAGTGTTACTTTCCAAGCCTGGAAAAAATCTAGTGGGAACAATATTAGCAAGTCTATGAATTGAGTGCACCTCGCTTGATCGACATGGATTTAAACTCGTTCCTTGGCAAATTAACCGTTATCCCTAGAGTTATCCTGATAGTTTCTATGAATTTATAAATGAAAATATTAAATTAAACTAAATGTTTTTGAAATATCCAAAGATTAAATTAAACTAAATGTTTTAGAAATATTAGCAGTCAAATGATAAAGATAAGGATAGATTGAAAATGCGAGTAAATGTAAATTCGCTTCATTTCATTTTCAATTAGGCTTCGCTTTGGCCTCTTCAACAGTGAGAACAACAAATAAATATAATTTTCGTAAGAAATAGTTCGCTTTAGGTTCAATTGTATTTGATTTTTATCTATTTTTTAATTATGTATCTTCCTCTCCCCCATTTTTGTCCTAACATTAATTTTTATCAATCCATCGTGAGGTAGATATTCCAAATTTTTTGTTTTTGTTTCCCTCATCTTTTGATCGTAGGAGGATGAAACAATATTTTACCCTTATCCCCAAATTCGTTCTCATCTACTCCCAAATTATACAACGTTATTTTGAATGTAGGTCATTTTTTCACCTTCATTTTAAGTGGGAATGCTAATTAAATTGTTGTTTTGAAATTTTTCAAAATTTAAAGGTTAAAATAAAACTTTTTAAATGATTTATTTGCTCATGTACCATCAAAAGAGTGTATTAAATATATTAAAATCTTAAAATTCTATGGATCTCTCCATGTAGTCCCGGGGACAACAACAACTTCTCTATCATCACCCTACAACAGCCAAATAAACGATCCCATAAATCCCGTGCGAACTAACAAAATCACATAATGGGGTCAAGATCAGATCGACTCAACTGAGTTGGATTGATCAATACGGTTTCACTCACATTTACTTCTTTTACCTTACTTTAAGCAAACTCGTGACATTTTATCCATAACAGTATGTAATCACACAATAAGTGTCACAAAAACATTTAATCTTAAAGTCTCGGTTTTATATTTAAAGTGAATAATAAAATTAATATACTTGACTTGTCTGATTATTTTAGATATTTTGTCATTTGGGAATTAGAGAATGATAAAATATTATGACAAACAAATGAAAATTGATAAAATAAATAAATAAATAAATAATCAAATAAGATATAATCATACTTCTAATTCAATGATAACGAATAAAGATAAATACTTTCTTTATAGGCGAAATAGTATGTACTTATTTTAATCTTGTTCTGGTTCATTCAATAGTAATTAATATGTATCTCAAACTAAGACGTCCTGAATTTGATCTTCCATTTCACTCGTCATTTTAAAAAAATCTTGTTTCGGCTTGATTTTATAAATAAAAAAAGAGAAAGAATATTAAATTAAAAATAATGTTTCGATTTGGAATTTCTTTCTTTGAATACTTTTTCTAAACCATTTTATCGAATCCACTGCTCAGCGGCATCTATTTATCCATTTGAGATTGAAAGTTGGAATGGAACTCCAATATCCTTGTTGTATTAAAAAAGAGAAAAAAAAAAACCAACTACTCCATGATCTCTCCTTCTGTAAAACCCTAATCTCTCCCTCATTTCCAGTGGGTTCCACTCTCTCTACCTATCGTGAAAAATTCGCAGAATCCCCCCTTTGTTCCCGTCTATTTCCATCTCCGGCGACAGCTTCTCCGGCGGCTCTTCCCTCTCGGCGAGAGCACACTCACGAACGGCGACTCGTCCCTGGTAGGTGACGAGCGAAGGTGACACCACCGTATCTCGAATTTGCGACGGGCGGTGGCAGCACTATCTGAACGGCCCAGACAGTTCCCTAGGTGATTAAGGTGGATTCTGAAAATTTATTTTTGGGTATTGCTACAGTTATGGAAATGTTCTGAGTTTTCTTTTGGGTATTTCTTTGGTTCTGAATTCTTATCTGTGTATTTGGACTGTCTTTTAGCCTCGTGGTTCTGCATGTTGTTTAGAATTATGGTTTTCAGTTCAGTTCTTAAATTTTGGACTTAAGTTTCTTAACTACTGTTTAAAATTTAGGTGAAAGTTAGACCGAGGTTAAAGTGAAATTGCGGTTTATGAAATTTTGTTGCGACCCATTGGGATTGGATTCAGAGAAATTGGGTCCATGAGTTTTTATCGTGAAAATAGTTGTGATTGGATTTTAGACTTATTATAACAACTCGTGAATGCTTACTTCTGTAGTAAAAAGAGTTTGAAAGAGAAACAAAGTTCTCTTAGCTGAAGAAAAGGAAACAAAGTTTTCAAACAATAAAAATAGGAAGTCCAAAGAAGACAAGTTTCACTAATGCCCTCCGTGCCACTCATACTTATTGTATTATTTAAATGTGAATTAATAAAACATAGGACATTTAAAATAAAACACACAATGACGTTGTGAATCTTGCAGGTAGATCCGAATGTCTGCATTTGCGAATCCCAACCCTAATAAATCCTTCGAGGCAAGGAACTTTCGATGTCTACTTCGTGTGTTGCAGATTTTGGATTTCGGGTCAATTCAGGTCGACGCCTGAAGTTGACTTGGTTTGGTCAAGTTTAAAAGTAAATGTTGTGTTGCTTTCTGGATGTTTGTCTATTTTAGGTAGCTCAACCTCCGAGTGATTCTGTGTCGAGCCTTAGTTTTAGTCCCAAGGCCAATCACTTGGTTGCGACTTCATGGGATAATCAGGTCCTTTTCCTTTTCTCCCTCTATTTATTCTCCTTTTTTTTGTTGTGCTTTTACTTGCTCTTTCAATGGTTGTCTATTTCGTATCCAGTTTAGGGTTTACCTTATGAGAATAAGGAACTTTTGCTCACTATTTAAATTGCTCTTTTGGAAGTTGAGCAAATTAGACTAGAGAATGTCAAATTGATATATAGCATTCGAGGTTTGCGAGTTTATTCTATATTTTCATGTTTAATGGTTTCTGCAGGTCCGTTGTTGGGAAATAATGCAAAATGCGGGTAATGTTGCTAGTACGCCCAAAGCTTCAATATCTCATGATCATCCGGTGCATAACAATTTATTTTTGCTTTTCTAGGTTATTAGAATTTTGTTGCTGTAAGACCCAAAACGCTCAAAAGCTATATTGCATTTTACCTTTTTTGCTTAGGTTTTATGCTCGGCATGGAAGGATGATGGAACAACAGTCTTTTCTGGTGGCTGTGACAAACAAGTTAAAATGTGGCCCTTATTGTCAGGTGGTCAAGCCATGACTATAGCCATGCATGAAGCACCCGTTAAAGAGGTTGCTTGGATCCCTGAGATGAGCCTGCTGGTCTCTGGAAGTTGGGACAAGACATTAAAGTAAACACTTATTTGTTGATTCTTAAGTTCATTTTAAAAAAATTTGATCATGCATCCTGTGACATTCGTATATTCTTTGCAATACAAGTAAATGGTTATGGAATTAGAGTTTTCTTCATTATCATGGAACATAAAAAACATTATGGAAGTCAGTTTCACACCATTTGTCTCCCTAGCCAATTTTATGTCATTTCTTTGTCTATGTGGGCATGGGTTTGTTAAAACTAAGGCATGTGTAAGCAAGATACGTGGCTCTGCCTTTTAGGGGTATGTTTATTTGATGGTATGGCTTGTAATTTTTCATTTAAGTGTTACCATCATTATTCACCATGAGTTGATGTGGTGAGTCATGTAGCATTGCTCCATTAGTTTTTCCTCAAATGGTTTCATTGTGATATGTTTCATCCTGAGATGAATTATGAATATGAGGCTGTGTTTGTTTTAAAATGTATATAAGCTTGAGATTTCTATGTGTTGAATCTTTTTAATTTAGTGAGATTAATCTCATTTTGAAGGAAGATGGAGTTGAAAATAAGTGGGTTCTTATAAATGTAGCAGCTATCTCTTTCGCTTAGCATTTGCTCTTGGTTTGATATGATGGAACTAACTTGCATTATGTCAGTCTCCAGTTCATAAGATGACTAAAATTAAATGTGCCCTTCAAAGACAGACAATTTGTCCTTTTCTGGTCTTTCATGTTCACCCTTTGCCTTTTGTTTGTCTACCAAGTGGAAAAGTAATTGTATATCATGGTAGATTACCTATGTTTTCTAATTATGATTAAAAAATTTGATGGGTTTTCCATCAACTCAGGTATTGGGATACAAGGCAGCCAAATCCAGTGCATACACAACAGCTTCCTGATCGCTGTTATTCAATGACAGTGAGATATCCATTGATGGTAGTTGGTACTGCAGATAGGAACTTGATAGTATTTAACTTGCAAAGTCCTCAGGTGCTGTCTTCTTTCCTTCTTTTTTTTTTTGTTCTTCCCTCCTCTTTCTCAAATGTAATAGCTGAAGTTGTGTATAATTCTGTGAATTTCAGTGTTTTGACATCTGCATATGGGGTTTTTTGATGTGTCTTTCAAACTGTTACTTTTTCGTTTATCTTCTATATTCCGATTCTAATACTGTTAAGTGTTGACTGTTAAGTGTTGACAGAATGAATTTAAGAGAATTGTTTCACCGTTGAAGTATCAAACAAGGTGTGTAGCTGCCTTTCCCGATCAGCAAGGTTTCTTGGTAATATGTCCATCCCTTCCCCTGTATTCATTTGATCATGTGTTTACTTTCTTTCAAGTTTAAATCTTATGTATATCTCGATGATACTTTGGTTACTACTTCAATGTTCTTATTTATTTACCTTCTTTTAGATTCTTAATGACGGAAATTATTTGATTCCTTGTTGATCATATTGTGAGATTGCTTAATCTGATTTCATTAACCATTCCAGGTTGGTTCAATAGAGGGGAGAGTTGGTGTTCATCACCTTGATGAGTCTTTGGCGAATAAAAATTTCACTTTCAAGTGCCACAGGGATGGATCAGAGATATATTCTGTCAACTCCTTGAACTTTCATCCAGTAAGTTTGAATGTATTAATTTATTTATTTATTGAAGCATAAAAAATTCAAGATACTTCAAAATCTTAACACATAGTCCCAAAATATTTTGCTAAAAGAATTCTGGAAGAAAACAGCGGAGAGGTCTTTCCCAGCTTTTGAGGACTGCGTACACACATTCAGATTTATAACCCAATTAGGACCACGTTTTTTAAGCCTATCATATATGCTTTCACCCTTCCAAAAATAGTACCGAAAATAAGAAATCCTTTCTGGGGCTTTTTATCTTACCCAATGCATTTACCACCTTCTTATAGATCAGGGGAGACCCTTCCAATTCTTTTACCATGGATTTAACAAAAAACATATATGTTGGGGGAATTCAAAAATTTATCTATCCTCCATCATGATGTGTGCCATTCATTAGCTGCAAGGGGCAAAGACGATGGGTACAAATAATGGAGGTCGTGGGTGTGGAGTTGTGTTAGGACTGTTGAATTCTTCATTCTCATTAATAGGAAGCCAAGAGGTAGGATCCTTGCTTTAAGAGGGTTATGGCAAGGTGTTTCGCTTTCCCCTTTTCTTTTCCTATTGGTGGTGGGTGGGTAGTTTCAAAAGGGATTTGGAGGGGAATTTTGGAAGGTTTACATGTGAGGGAAGATAGGTTGACTCTATCTCACCTTCACCCCACTGATGACATGATCTTTTTGTGCTCCGGGAAGGAAGAGTCTTTTTTGAGGTCGTGTGTGTAAGCCTTTGGATTCTGGGGTTTAGGTATTGGTAACTTGAGACTGCGCAATGAAGCGTTGTTGGCTAAATGGTTATGGCTTCCTGCAAGAGTCAGATTCCTTGTGGCATAGGATGATTATGAACAAGTATGGTCCTGATCCCTTTCAACGATTGTTTGATGGGGGTCTTAAAGGTACTTCTAGAAATATGTGGATATCAATCTCTTTGGGCTTTCCCTTTTATTTATTTTATTTTATTTTTATTTTGTGTCTCAAGGATGAGATGAGATTGATACGTTTTATTGGGAAGATAGGTGGTTAGTGGATCATCCATTCGGCTCCTTTATCATCTCTCCTTTCCCCTCTCGTTTGATCTAGCGTCCTCTTCGGATCTGGATTTCTATCATCCTTTGTCCGATAGGGAAACGATGGATCTTGTGGCCTTGTTGGCCCTTTTAGGAGACTTCATGCATCTTTCAGGGAGGAGGGACCGAGGGACCTTCTTTTGTAGTCTCCCAATCCATTGGAAGGTTTCTCTTGTAAATCTTTCTTCGCCTGTTTGGTGGACCCCAATCCCTCCCTCTCTGTTTGCTCGACGCTTTGGAAGATCAAGATCCCAAAGAAGATTAGATCTTTTGTCTAGCCGGTCTTACTTGGGAGGGTTAATACTTTAGACCACATTTTAAGGCATTCTTCTTTTCTGTGTGGGCCTCGGTGCTGTATTCTTTGCAGGGGAGTAGCTGAGGACCAAGATCACCTCCTTTCGTATTGTCACTTTGCTTCTTTCGTGTGGGATATTTTGTTTTAGACTTTTGAGGTTCATATTGCTTGTGCCGAAGATTGTTGCTTGATGTTTATGGGACCTTGTTAGGTCTAATGTGTCCCTTTGGGTCTCGGTGTCCAAAGTGTTTTATAATTACCCTTCAGGTTTGATTTCTCTTGATGGGAGCCCATTCTTTTAGTTTGGCTCCTCTTCATGAGCTGGTTTTTTTTGTTTTTCCAAATGTATTCTTTCATTTTTTTCAATTAATCCGCTTTTCATAAATAATAATAATAATAATAATAATAATACTAATAATAAATAATTAGCTGCAAAGGTCACAAGCTGCCTTCACTTACTCATCTCTAACATTTCTTTTAGTAATGATCATAACATTGCACCATGAACGGCTTGAACAACATGATTTTTTAGCTTTAGTAAAGCTCCCAAAATCTTTTTTTCCATGTGTACCATCACTTTGTTGCATTGCTCATTTGGTTCTCTAGGAAATGTCGAAAGCCATTTCGCCAAAGCTTCATTCTTCTTTTATAAATTTTCGGCTCCCAAACTGTCCCTACTTAAAGGCTTAGGAATTAACAATCATGGGTGGTCCATTGGTCCAAATGGGCTGGGGTTAATTAAGAGGGAATGAGTTCAAATCCCATGATGACTACCTACATTAGGAATTAGTAATTCCTATGTGTTTCCCGACACCAAATGTTGTAGGTTCAGGCAGTTGTCCCGTGAGATTAGTCAAGGTGTGTGTAAACTAGTCTTAAACTAGTCTTAAACTAGTCTTAAACTAGTCTGGACATTCACAGATATAAAAATAAATAAATAAAAGGCTTAGCAATCATGTTCCAACCAACTAATTGCTTAACCTTTTCTCTTCATTTCAGCTCTAAAGGAATACACTCAATGTATTTCAATTTCAATGGCCACCTTTCTTGGCATTTGGTAAATGGGCATATTATGAATTACATAAGATCATCTCCCCCTTAGACAAGCAAAAATTGTCCCATCTATGAACTTTTCTTGTGGTATTTCTCTATAATAGGGGTTCAGACCTCCATTTTTTGATTTACCCCTAAAGGCTTTCCTAATTATGAAAAATGAAGACATTCGTGCTTACAATTTGAAGTTCTATCTAATAGTATTCTGTGGAGATAGTGGACTGCGTTGATTATTTTTATGACAGACAAGGATTTTTCATGATCCATGTACACTTGGGGTGGTTATTTTTCAAATTAAGTGATTATCTGCTGTCAATAATCTTACTTTGCTGAATTTTGACTAGTGATATTTTAAACTTGATATTTATTGAGCTGCACTCTCATCCAGGTGCATCACACTTTTGCAACTGCAGGATCGGATGGTGCTTTTAATTTCTGGGACAAGGATAGCAAACAGAGGCTGAAGGTATCTTCAGATCCTTAGTAGTCTTTTAACTGCTTAATCCTCAGTATTCTTCAAGATTTATAGAATAGCTTAGGGGTTGCATGGGAACTATAAGTCTATGTTTATTTACAACTTTACAACACATAAAACTTGTTTGGTAGGATAATGTTTCAAAACAAGTTCCACACTAGTTTTTGGCCCAATTAAGTCTTTTCATAACTAAACATCCATGGCCAGTTAGTTTCATGACCATAGATCAAGATGTTAATTAATGACAAGATTAAGTTGAGCCAAAAGCCTAACTTAATATGCACCAGTGTACTTGAATTAGATGGAACTGTGTTTTCAGTTAATTTTTTGTGGAGGTTGGCAGATGTTGGAGTTGAGGCATTACAAGTATAAAGTTCTATAATAACAGAAAGATGTACAAAAAGAAAAAAAGAAAAAAAGAAAAAAAAGGGCTGCAAAAACATGCCTGCATACAACTTGTTTTAGTTTTACCGTTAGTTAGAACTCTAGGAAATATATATCTAACGCTTACCATTTAGAAGCTTATTCTTAATGAATAATGGATGATATTATCTTTTTTGCTTTCCAGGCCATGTTACGGTGCAGTCAGCCCATAAGTTGTAGCACTTTCAACCAGGATGGTTCAATTTTTGCATATTCAGTACGTATCATCTCTCTCTCTCTCATATCCTTGTTCTCTTATATAAGGTGTTCTAAGTGGTTTACAAACTAGTTGAAAGACCATTCAGAGAGTCTCCTAATTTAGAGTTGGGTGCGTAGGGAAGGGCTCTTGATTTTCTTCATTATCCTGTAATTCGTAAGCTTTTTATTTATTTCACTAGGATCCATCTTTTTTCAGTCCTAATTGGTTTGACTGCTATTTCAATTCCAAACTGTGGGAGTGTTCTGTTCGTAGCTTTTATTTCGTTTCCTTTTTGCAAGTCTCGAGAAAAAGCACGAAGTTTGTTCTTTTGCAGTAAGCTGAACTCTTGACATGCGGGATTTATATAGGTGTGTTACGATTGGAGCAAGGGAGCAGAAAATCACAACCCTGCAACGGCAAAAACCTACATTTACTTGCACCTGCCACAGGTACATCATGTTGTTCATAATTTTGATAAATTTATGTACTTGTTTTGAATGCTGTTGCAGGTAAATTACTGAAAACTTTCCCTTTGGATGTAATGTAGGAGTCTGAGGTCAAAGGCAAGCCCCGGGTCGGAGGCGGTGGCAGGAAGTAACAATGTTTCTATCAATTCTAAAAAAGTTCACTCAAAAGTTGAAACATGTGTTTGTTTTAATTCGGGTGCATCTTATTTTCTCTTGTCAATTACTAATAGGTTTACAACTTGGGTAGAAATGTAGGCAAAAGATATGACTTAGTTTTGGCTTAGAACGTAATGCAATCTGTTTCGTATGATTGGAAATACCTGAGTTTTCATATACATATGGTTTACAATTGTGTCTCTTTGATGCATATTATTGTTGATTTTATGCGTATTTTCCTAAGTGCAAATATCATAGTTATGCATATATACCCATTGGTGAAATTTTGTGCAAATAATAATGGTAAATATACAATAAGTCTATGCAAATATAAAACTAACTCTGTACTATTTGATCTAGATGAAAATACAAGCGCAAATATTATTGAGGTATTAGACATATATACATATTGGTGATATTAAAATATCATGGGTGGCTCATTAATCCAAAGGGACTCGGATCAATTAAAATATCATGGGTGGCTCATTAATTCAAAGGGACTCGGATCAATTAAAAGGTCCGTGAAGAAAAATAGAAAACTAATATGACACTAAATTCGAATTCAAAATTAATTTGAGAGTAAAATCAGCCATTTTGAAAAATAATCCAAATTTAAATTATTCTTAAAATCAAATAAATCATTCATTTAAAAATGATTGGCTCTTACGTAAACCGCCATTACTTTAAATTTCCCTTATTTTCGGTATATGTTGCAAATCTATAAGGCCACTTTTATTGAAAAAACAAAATTTTAAACAAAAAATCTAGACTTTTAGGTCTATAAAAATTATAATGTTTTTTTTTTGACATTTTAAAATTATAATGTTGTAGAGTGCTAATATTAATTTCAATCACCTTTCACATTTTAATTATTAGTCACGGCTATTCTTTTTATAAAATTATTAAAATAGAGTAATGATTTAGTTTTTTTTAGGGTGAGTAATAATTTAGTTAGTCTTGATAATTTATATTAACAAATATGAATTTAAGAAAAGTTATTTTTTAACCATTGTATTTAATTTAGTGAATTAATTTTGAATTTTAATTTCATCCATCAACAAAATACCCAAAATCTAAGTCATAATAGTGTTTAAATTCTCAATATCAATATCAATACAACTAATAGATTCAATATTTCCAGTCACAATTAAAAAGAAAAATGTTAAACCTTCAAACAATTATGATCTTTCTTGTGATGGAAATCCGGAGGCACGTCATCGAGGTGGTTCGGTTCGGTCTGCGGTATCGGACTAAACTGGACCGAAGCGAACCGTGAACAATATGTTCAGCCTTGAACAACGATCTCGTTCCTATAGGCATTTCATCAAACAGGGGAAGCCTGGTACTCGCTAATGGCAGCCATGGACGGGGTGGTGCAGAATCAGCCTCAGCAGCAGCAGCAGCAGCAGCCTCCGCCGCCGCAGCCGGTGGTTGTTGCGGAAAGGCTGAACCAGGCGGTACAGCAACAGCTGAACCTGGAGGCTGTGAAGACTCGAGCTATTACTCTATTCAAAGCCATCTCACGGATCCTCGAAGATTTTGATGTCTATGGTCGCAGCAATACAACGCCCAAATGGTCTACTTTCATCTTTTCCATCGCTTTTTCTTGTGATATTTTCCAAATCTACTTGAATTTTAAGTCAGAAAACACTAAATTTGGGACTTGAGGGTGCAATATCTTTTGTTTTGTTTCATTTACACTTCCTAATAGCCCCTTAATGTTAGAATGTAATTTTTTTTTCCTATCATCCATCTGGACTTTCATGTTACTAATTATTTTTCTAAACATCCAAGCATCTTAATATTTATATTTGTTTTCAATTTTCTCTTAAACTTGATAACAATCTAGTTGAGTTCTACACCAGGCAAGACATATTGGGGCAATATTCTATGGTGAATCTCGAGCTCTTCAACATTGTTGACGAAATTAAGAAGGTTTCTAAGGCTTTCGTTGTACATCCAAAGAATGTGAATGCAGAGAATTCGACAAGTATGCAACTGCATCCCTTTCAAGTCTTTGTGTAATAGAAAAAAATGCTAACTTCATGTTTTGTGCGCTTGAAATTGTGTCTTAAAGGCACAACTGGTGGAATAGATTTCCTATAATTATATGTAGTTGTTTATGCTCTCAAGAAACTGGTGGAATATATGTCTTTGCGTTCACGTGCTTTCACCAAATTTATTCTTATTATTTTTTAAAAAGTATACCCTAAATTAAAGTGTTTACTCTCTGGAAAAACTATTTATCTCTATTCACCACCACCATCCTATGTAAAACCACAGAAAGTTATGAGAATTGAGTCGTTGTTAGATGTCTTCAGATATTTTTTACTATAATATTTCTTTTACTGTAAGAAGGATGATCAGCGTTCAAATAGAAAGATCCAGTTGGGTGCGTGTCATAACTTAGACTTGGTCTCCTGAGGTGAATATTGGGTTGTTTGAGTCATGTTAGTTCAGTGAACTTGCAATCTTGTCCGAGCCAAGGATTTGATAGCTTTATAAGAACATTTGATGGACCCCACCTTGTATGATTTTCTAACTTTAATGCACTTTCTAGCCCTCGTTAGAGGCCTCCAGCCAGGGATTTAATAACTATTTTCCCTTTCATGTGTGTATTTAAATCAATATTAATTGGAGGGTGTTTCTATATTCTCTTTTGGCTTTTGGTGCGGGGATGCCTTATGTTCCCAAACTGATCTTTTAACTTCTTTTTATCTTTTTTTTTTGACATGTTTGTTTCTCACCATAAGAGGGAGAAGAAGCATAAGCTATCACGTATACCCTAATTTTATTATCCTTGTAAAGTGAACTACTGTCGAACAGTACTTTAACTATGATGTAAGCTCCTCTATTTGGTTGTTTAGTGCGACACATAAGTATAATTGCTGAAATATCTTGGAAGTACCATGTTGGTGTTTCTTCAATATTATCTGCTTATTTACCACCCTTTTCCAGGTATGGTAGATAGACATATTTTCTTACTCCTTTATTTTATTTTTTGTTTCTTTAATGCTGAAAAGGGTTTACTTACCTAAAATCAGTTTGGTAATTATTGCACAAGCTTGCTCAATCTTATATTTATTTGTATAATTTTATTAGCAATAAAATTTTCTTCTTTTCTGTGAGCACAGTTCTACCGGTTATGTTGTCCTCAAAATTGTTGCCTGAGATGGAGATAGACGACAATTCGAAACGAGAGCAGTTGCTTCTTGGGATGCAAAACATGCCAATATCTACACAGATTGATAAATTAAAGGTAATTAAGTCATTAAATAACTTACTCTTTTTGTGTATCTGATATTTAGATATACCTTTTCCACAGACTAGAATAGAAATGATTGGTGCAGCCTGTGAAAGTGCTGAAAAAATATTAGCTGAGACTCGGAAGGCATATTGTTTTGGAATGCGTCAAGGGCCAGCAATAGCTCCAACTTTAGATAAGGCTCAAGCTGCAAAAATTCAGGAGCAAGAGAATTCACTGCGAGCTGCTGTTAACTTTGGGGAAGGTAATACTTCATTACTTTTATAGCCATTGATTAATATCTTTTTTTTTGTTTTGGTTTTTTTGTAGTTTATACATTGTTTAGTAGTGTATCATGCCTAGTAAATTCACTAATGATTGAGCTATTTACCAAAAATAATACTATATTTAGGCTTCTCGCCAATTTGGTACCATGTATCTATGAAGATTAGAGATTTCTATATATTTTCTTTATTTCTTAATTTGTGATATACTTTATCAAATCTGTGGTGCATACTTGAATATGGATGTTCTGATTCATGTAACATTCATTTTTCTCTCTTATAATTGTTGTATGAATCAAATGCATAGGTAACTTATCTTGTTGGCTTAATGGATTTATATGACAACTGGCAAATTGGTCTGATTCTTGCAAAACAAATGGGTATAAGGTGTTAAAAAGAGTAATTGGTGGTAACCAAAGGTCTTTTTTCTCATAAAGAAATCCTTGTTATGTGCCTATGATTTATGACACTATGTATTTGTCAGTTGCGTTTATAGTTGAAACTTGCTAAAATCTGAAATGTTATTTGCCTTTATATTCCCTACTCCTTTTGTTATGTACAATAGTTGTTCCTTGTGCATGTTACTCATATACACACGTAGGATTATTTACTGGTGAGCAAAGGCAGATTACACCAACACTTCCAATGCATTTGGTAGATGTGCTGAATGTAGGTGATGGAGTACAAAGTTTTAATGAAACGTCAGGTAGTGTTCAATTTCTTCCTCGAGCATGAATGATTTATATATTAATTTACTAAATTGAACTGTTTTCTTTGTTGTTATGGTCAATTTAACGAGATCTCTTTCAGGTATGTATGCAAAGAATACTCCTCTAATATCAAGTAATATTAGTGGTCAAGGATCATTGTTACAGGTCAGATGATTTCCTTGCTCCTTGAAGTGGTTCCTCAACTTTAATCTATTCGCATCTCCTTTGAGTAATAGAATGTGTTCCAACTATAATAAAGTTGATTTCATTTATTTATTAACCTTTCAATTGCTTGTTAATTATTTTCAAATAGTCAATCTGTAATTAGATACACAAGTTCAATTTAGGATTATGAAACTAGGAAGTCCTGAACTCATGTAAGTGTAAGGTATTCCCTTACAATATGATGTTAAAAAAAAAACCCTAGGGAAACAAAGTCTCACAGCCGTTCGAGAGGGCTGGAACTCCCCCCCCCCACTAACTATTATCGGTAGGTGAATTCCCACCCTTACCCTTCCTAGCATAAGTATTTATAATAGGAGGCCTTACACTACACCCAAGACACCCTGTTGGATGGTTGAAATGGCATCCCATGTAGCTTCATGCTCGAGTAAATCCTTCAACTGCACCAATGACTCCCAGTTGTCTGTATTCACGCTCTTGTGCGTCCCCATCACGTTATTCTATTGTAAGGCCTAGTGGTTCCAAGGAAAGCATTAGCAACCACGTTATGCTAGTGGTTCTTCAACGTTATGTTAGTACAAGGCATCCTATTGTAAATAATTATGCTAGGAAGGGTAAGGATGAGAACTCACCTACCAATAGTAGTTGGGAAGGCCCAAGGTGTCGACCAACTTTTGCAATATGAAGTTATGTGTCAGCCCACAATCCACAAGCACAATCACGTTCGTCTGATTTATTTGTCCACGTAGTTTCATGGTTCCTGGGGTAGAGAACTATGAATTGTCTCGCAGCACATTGAAAACCATGGCAAGGTGTTTGAGGTGCGTCTGCAAGTTAGGACTATATACCAGAATATCATCAAAGAATACTAATACGCACCTTCGAAGGAATGGTCTGAAAACGTTGTTCATAAGTGCTTGAAAGATAGAGGAGCGTTGGTTAGGCCAAACGGCATCACTAGAAATTCATAATGCCCTTCGTGCGTTCTGAAGGTTGTCTTATGGGTATCTTCCTCTGCCATCCTGATCTGGTGGTAGCCGGAACGAAGATCAAGCTTTGAATACACCTTGGAGCCATTCAACTCATCAAGTAATTCTTCTACCACCGGTATTGGAAACTTATCGGGGATAGTAGCACTGTTGAGAGCCCTATAGTCTACACAAAAACGCCAGCTGCCATCTTTCTTCTTGACTAAAATCACTGGGCTAGAGAAATGACTCACACTTGGTTTAATGATCCCCGATCCCAACATTTCGTTAATTAGGCTCTCTATTTCCTCTTTCTGAGCATGGGCATACTGGTAAGGTCGGACATTGACTGGGTTTTGCCCTTCCTTCAAAGGGATTCGATGATCCACGGTTCTTTTTGGAGGTAGCTCTTCTGGTTTCTGGAACAAGTCTAGGTATTCATGAATGAGCTCTTCCACTAAAGGGGACGGGGTTTCAGCAACCTCCTCTGTTTCTTCCTCTAATGTGCTCAATGTCCGCAACTCAACGAGATATCCCTGGTCGTGGTCCTCCCATCCTTTTGCCAGTCTCTTCATCGTCACTTCCAAACGTGCCAAGGTTGGATCGCCACGAATGGTAATCTATTTTCCTCCTCTATCAAATCTCAGCGTCAACGCCAGCCAGTCGGCCTCCATTTTGCCCATGGTTTGGAGCCACTGCATTCCCAAAACGATGTCTAAGGTCCCCAACTCCAAGGGAAGAAAATCCTCTCTAATTGTGAGTTCTGGTAGGGATAAAACAACGCCCTTGCAGATACCGTTGCCCTTCACCGCCGTTCCTGATCCCATTATCACCCCATAGCTCACTGTTTTTGTCTTCGTCAAACTCAATTCGTCTGCCAAAGGTAAGGATATGAAATTGTGGGTGGCTCCACAATCTATCAGCACCACCACCTCTCGCCCTTGGATCGCCCCTTTCACTTTGATCGTTCCTGGTGTGGAGATCCCTACGATCGTAATCAGGTGACATTCGACGATCTTGCCCCCTTTCTCTTCGATTTCTTCTTTCGGTTCCTCCGATAACTTATCATCTTCCACCTCAAACATTTCTTCGTCGTGCTCTACGAAGACTCGGAGTTCTCTGTTTCGACACTTATGGCCCACGGTGTACTTTTCCTCACAGCGGAAACACAATCCCCGTTCCTTCCTCTTCTGAAACCCAGCCTCTGTTAACTTCTTGAAGGGAGCTTCCTTCTTCGTTGACAGTGATGTTCCTGTTACCTATGTCGTTAATGAGACCTTACTTGACAGAGTTACCATACGAGTAGGGATTACCTCTAGGGTTTTGGAAACTGTTTTGCTCGTCATTGGGCCAATTTGGGTCTTCTTTGTGGTGTTTTGTCCCGCGGCTTCCAGACTTGCCGTGTTAATGTCGTCGATGAGTTGGGCCTTTCGCACTACTTGATCCAACCCTTTGGGTTCTAGGGCCCTTACTTCCGCGCGCGTCATTGGGTCGAGCCCATTCAAGAAAGCGCGCCTCGAACGTCTGTCGGTACTCTATGAACGTGCTCTCCTGTTTGATCGATAATAACTGTGCGCATTGTCTGCCTTCGCTGGTCGGATGGAACTGATCACGTAGTCTCCCTTTGAGGTCGTTCCAGTCGCGGAACTTCTCTCTGTTATCAGTATACTGATACCACGTCAAAGCTATACCATCAAAACTGATGATCGCTACGAGCATCTTCTCATCTTCAGACAACTTCTGGATTTCATAATATCGCTCTGCGCGTAAAATCCACGCCTCCAGCTCCAGACCTGCAAAAACCGGCATCTCAACCTTTTTGAAACGGTTTCGGTCAGTATTCTGATTACCGTTCTCTTGTCCTAAGACGTCATCCTCAATCGCCTTCCCCTTTGTCACCGACGTGTCCCCCGTTATCTTCGACACGGATTGCGACTTACCTCCGATGACCTGAGCCATGAACGCCTTTAGCGTCGCGTGAATACACTCACTCAACTTCTTCTGTTCATCAAATTTTTGATGTAACAGTGTAATTTCCACCTTCACTTCTGCTACTTCTCCACTGCCTCACACCTGGTTTCGAGCTCCTTTACCGTCATTCTCTCTTTTGATTGCCCAGTATCGACACGCTTTGATACCAATTTGTGAGGTATCAACTCCTCACTATTCCGATTTACTTCCAAAAGATAACCCGAAGGTGATACAAAAAGAACAAGAACAGCCCTAAGGCAACAAAAGACCCACAAATCCAAGAGGGTGGGGAATCTCTCCCTAACAGCCCAAAAGCTAACCAACACAAAATGCTAGAATACCCCCCTTAGCCTACATTCCCTTCCCCTTATAGGCAGAACTTCCCTCCTTCCTACAGGTAGTTGGTCCCCCCTCTTTCTCTCTCTTGGTCGTTGTGGCCTTCCTCTCCTAAAAAGACTTCTTTACCTTTCTACTATATGTTTTTACAATTGGAGGCCTAACAAGAACCTAACTACGATGTTCAAAGATGGTTCGACCACCTCGCCGACATCTTCAGCCGGAGCGGGATTGACCTCCATGTCGGTTGATTTGTTGTCATGGGCGAGGAGAACTTGAAGTTCTTGGCTTTTGCACTTATGCTCATAAGAATACTTTTCGTCACAAGAGAAACATAACACCTTTTCTTTCCGTGGAAGGAATTTCCTCGCAGTCAATTTTTTAAAATTTGTGTATTTTCAAGGAGTTGGTTTGGTCATGGAAAACGTGGGAGGTGTACTGTTAGGGTTACAGTATGCGTGGGTATGGGATTTGCAATTTTGGGAGGCCATGATATGTGGATGGGTTGATGTGTTGGGGCGGGTCGGGTTTTTGCTCATAGGCGCATAGAGGGAGGTGTGTTTATTCTCTATGAGTGAGTCGCTTTCATCATCCTTTCCAGCCGTATGGCCTCCATACATAGAACTTCAGCCTAATCGTGTGTAGTTTTTTAATGAATGTGCTCTTTAGCACGTCTTCTGTCAACCCTACCAATGGCGCAACCATTTCCTCAAATCGGCGGTAGTAATTCGCCATCGTGCTGTCTTGTTGAATAGCCAGAAAACAAGCGCAAATGTTCGCTTCTTGCGATGGGCGAAAGCAAATTAACATTTGGAACTTGAGGTTGTTCCAGTAAACTACTTCTATGTGATTGCCCAACGATACCATAATAGTGCCTCCTTGTCGAAACTAACGATGGATACCGTAAGTTTCTCTAAGTCCGTTAACCGGTGGACTTCAAAGTACCTTTTGGTGCGAAAGAACCATGTGGCAGCGTATCCGTCGGAAAAAATCGGCATTTCTATTTTTTTGAGCTTATTTTGGTCACAAAGGCTTCCTTCGATATTACCCGTTGTCCTCCTCCTCGGCAATATGTTGATTTTTTATGATACTGAGAGGAGTCAGAGTAAACTTTTGGGATGTTATACCTTGTTTTTCTTCTTCCTCCTGGAGTTATTTCTCTTAACACTTCCCTAATTTCTTTTTATCATTTTCTTTATTACAGATTCAAGATAATTGGAGATCTTTTTTTAACTCCATTGTCTTATGAGTTATGAGGGGCTTTTCTGATTCTTTCTTGTATATCTCATCATAAATATCATCGCTTCTTATTAAAAAAACATGATGCAGGTTCTAAATATTTTTAGGTGTCAATTTCAATGTGTAACAACTAGGGATACAACTTTTGACCTACAGAATTCATTTCGTTTGGTAAAAAATGGAATTCATTTCGTTCAAGGTTCCACAGTGTATGTGATCTAATTATCTTGAGTAAGCAGTTTCCTAATTTTATTAGGATTTCTTTGGCTGGGTTATGTATTTCATTCTTTCCTCCTTGAAAGAAAAGGTAAGGTATTATATTCTGTACTATTAGGCATTAAAATTTGAATGGTTTCTTGGTAATTGTCCCTAATGCTCACTTTTCTTTCTTTTCCCTGCTTTTTCTATGATTATTTGCATCAGAAGTGGCTTTTAACTTACCACACTTGGACGGTTTGATTTGCAGTTATAGATTTCATTATAACTATTTACTTGGTATTTTACATCATACATCAATGGTTTGGTTTCCTCATCTTCTCAAGTGGTAATTTGAGTTTGTTGTATGTGCATGCATATACATTGCTAAAATCAATTCAATTCTTTGTAAGAGTGTTGTTGTTTCCTTTCACTTGATATTTAAAGCAGCCTCCTGGGTCACAACTTATTGGAAGATCAGCTGCTTCACCTTCTGGTACTACGGCCACATCCTTTGACAACACAACATCACCATTGCCATATGCTAACTCTCCAAGGTCTACAAACATTATGAACACGCCTTCTCCTCAACAGCAGACCCAACAACAGCAACAGCAGCAGCAGCAGCAGCAACAGCAGCAGCAACAGCAACAACAACTTCAGGCCCAGCAACAAAGGCAAAAATTGATGCAACTACCTCAGCATCAGCAACTCCTTGCTCAACAACAGTTGAGGCAGTCTCCCATGCAAGGAATAGGACAGGTTATATGCTTGCTCTTCAAGTAAATAATAAGACTTGTTAATTTAGGCCCTATTTGAGAACGATTTTGTTTTTAGTTTTCTGTTAAAAATTATGTTTGTTCATTCATATTTTCTTTGGCATGTTTAATAAAAACACATTTGAATTCTCAGCTAAAATTCAAAAACAAAAACAAGTTTTTGAAAACTACTTTTTTAGTATAAAAATTTTGGGTTAGATTTTAAAAACGTTTTTAGAAAGTAGAAAGCAAAACAAAGGAATACATTGGTGAAAGTAGTATTTTTTATTTTTTATTATTTTATAAGAAACAGAGAATTTCATTATCAAAGAGAGGAGATACAAAAGAAGGGGAAAAACAATCTCCAATGCCAAGAGTTACAAAAAAGACTTCCAATTGGTGTTAAGATTCATGAAGCCATAATTACAAAACAATCTATCAATAAGGCACCAAGAAGATACAAACGTATGAACGACTTCCCAAGATCGGTTATAAAACAACTTCCCAAGTCAAAGTAGTATTTATAAACTTAATTTTCAAAAACAGAAAACCAAAAACAAAATAGTTATCAAACGGTGCCTTAATTACTAATACAATTTTCTCAATATTTATTTCACTTTCCAAAACCTAGGCATGTAGTATCATCCATCTTTTCTCCCGACTGCTTGTCAAGTACATGGAAGCATAAAAATTTGATTCTGCCATTTATGGTATTATTCTAGCCATTAGAAACTATTACTTAGGAAAAAGAAACACATTTATGGAATCTTAATAGACATCTTCCTGGGCTATCAAAAGAACCATGGCCTGTTCAATAGTTCTATTCTATAGTTTTATTAGCTGTTGCCTATAGTTTTATTAACTAGTTTGTGGCAAAATATTTGCCCCATCCACGTAGGTAATTACAACCTCTTGTGTATACCCCATTGTTCCTCAATAGCCCAGTGGTAGAGTGGTTAGCTGTTAATGAATTGGTATATACTGATAACTTGATCACAGTCATACTTTTAACTGAACAGCATCAGATGCAGTTTTCACAGCCATTAGTGCACCAGCAATTTCAGGGAAGGCAGATGTCTTCTGGACATGTTCAACATGGCATCAGTCAAAGCCAACTTGGCCAAGGAAATCAAATGAATCGTCACTTGAGCCAGTTTTCTAGTGCTACTAACAGTGGTTTGTTTAATGCTGCGCAGACTACACCAAGTTCTCAAATGGTCAGATATCTCCATCCTTAATTTTGTTAATATTTAGTGCCTTCTTTTTCTTCCTTCCTTAAACGTAGTTGGATTGATATTACCATCATCCTAGTATATTGCATGGAGTCAATTTTATGTCATTAAAGGTTTGTAGCAGTACTTAAATGTTAACTTTCCACTCTGCCTCAAATATAGTGTTTTGAGGAGCGAAATTACTCCTGCATATGGCGGGGAGTCCAATTTGACCCATTGGCCTTGAAATACGGGCTTATCTTTTCCTTTCCATTTACAAATAGCTGTGTCCCTTTCTTCTTTAATATAAAACCCTAACTTTTATTAATTAATATAAACACAAGATGCATTTTTTTTTTGTTGTTGTTATAAGAGACAAAATTTCCATTTCATAAGAGGGGAGAATGTATAGAAAGACTGAGGAGTTGCAAAATGGATCTCCAGCTGGTCATGCTGTCAGGTAATTACATAAAATGATTAAATTTTAAGGACCAAAAATACATGCTACACTAAATCTTTCCCAAAATGGGATTCACCAAAAAAGGAAAAAAAGTTGTCTTATAGTTGTGAGGTGACCATTTTCTTCCATAGCGAATGAAATTTAACAGATACATTTCATTCTAATGATACCTGAGACATGAATTTCTCAACCTTTATTTAGTTGTAATTTTAAGTCACTGTCGTTTTTGTGACACTTGTAGTCAGCAATGATTTCACTAGCAGTTAAATCTAGATCTAGAATTTGACTTCCGCTGACAAAACTTTTTGAGACTTGGAGATTCTTTGGGGTAGCACTTTGCTCAGTCCATGACTAAGAGAAAGAACACTGGCCAAAATTGTAGGCTTGAGATGAGACTTATAGGTCGAGAATTTGCCACCAGAGTGCGGCTTGGAGATGAGGCATGGATATGGTGACATCCAGTAGGACATATATGATACAAGAACATGTTTTGATCGTGACACAATTCTATGATTTTCATATTTTCATGTGTACTCTATATGATTATATCTCCTCAATGAGAGCCCCCTTTGGAATAATGAGAATTAATCTCAAGCCCATATTCTTTGGCAGTTGTTCCGTCTTCTTTTTATTTATTTTTGGGTAATCAAACCTTTGTTAAAGAAAAGAAAAAAAAGGAGTGGAGGGAAGCAAAAACCTCTTAAAACCACCACAATTAGTTGGCATAAAATGTGTAATTAATATGAGAAATGTGTGAATATTAACCATCCAGAGCTAGAAAGAAAGGAAGATCAACATCTTCAATAATACTAGGAGTCCTCTCAACAATTATTTTCTTCCTGTTAATCCAAATTTCTCAAAAATTAGCAGCCACCAGTTTGCCCAGACGACAGTCCTGAGAGCATATGAGAGACTTCCTTGTAACATTAGAATAGCCCTGCAGCTCAAAGAACTTGAAATTTTTTATCCAATCCTTTTAACAGCATGATAGGGGACAATAAATGGTTTTATTTTTCTTTCTCGAACAAGGTTTCTTGATTTGGATGGTTTTAGGTCATGACGTCTCTTCTAAAACCCAAACACAATCTCTTTCTTCTGTAGATTGAGCACTTGAATTATTTGTTGTGATGCAAATTTTCAGAGTTTCCTGATAACATAAAATTAAAAGTTGGGGTTCTGGTTTCACTTGTAATTCTAAAAACATAGATTGACACCCCGGCATAGTAGATTTTATCTCTATCTTATTTTAATTGCTATTGAATTCTCTCTCTCTCTCTCTCTCCTTTTTTTTTCCCCCTTTTTCAGATTCCTAATATTTCAGCAGCAGTGTCATCACAACCACTCATGGCACGCATGCAGGTGTGTTCTAATTTGCTTGTTAAATTTTGCTTATATTTAATTTTTCAAGTGCTGGTGAGGGTAAAAGGAGAGTCTGAGGGAGGAGGGTGTATGCAAAATACTATTCTGTGTTGACAGGAATCAAACCAATTGCAAGTTAATTGAGTTCAATTAGGCCCTCCTCTTTTATGCAAATACTATTCTGTGTTGACAGAGAATTTCATGATATTCTCTCTGGTAACCTGAATTTTTTCATATGGAATCAAAGAGATCAGATCATTGCAGTGTATTGGCCAAATGTCCAAGTGATATAAAAGAATTCTTGTGTTTCGTTCTTTTCAGACCGAGATTTTAGGATTGCTTTTAATGCTCCTTACATGCCTAATAATAAAGAGTAGGAGAAACAAATCTATAAACAGATGTTTTACTATGTACCATGTCTTCTATGAAGCTAATGCCGTCTTACTATCCCAAGTTCTCACATCCTTGAGTATTAATTGCTTTGTACAAAGTGTATTCTTTATGGCACCGTATCATTGTTATCTCCTTTGCACTCTTATGATATTTTCGGAATTCTTTTTTTTCACTGGCATTTAATTTGTTTCAGTATGCGTTACCAGGGAGCAATCCGCAGCGAAGCCATGCTTCTCAAATTCTGAGTGATCAGAGTATGTAGCGCCATGGCTTACATGTACATTAAAAAAATACAAAGCGCTGTGCCGTGTAATATTTGTTTGAACTTGTTTTATTCCTCAGTGTTCAACATGGGAGGAGGTAATCCGGGTGGAATGATGCCTATGCAGCAGCAACAGCAGCAGCATGCTCCACAAGGGGCATTTGGTAACATGCCAGCAAATGCACAGTCTCTACAATCTGGTATGGTACCACTTCAGAACATGCAACAGACTCACCCTAATTTTGGTCAGCAGAGACAGCAAAATCAGCCATAGGCCACACTACTCAATTCACAGCTCATTCTCTATTACGCCTCGCACGCTGTGCTTTCGAAATCTGCAGTAAAAAGAAGGTTGTCGTATGCTTCTTATTTCTCGTTTAGTCCCAGCATGTGGTTCTGTCTGTTAAACTGCTTGGTTGTCAATGATATCTATCTTGAAGAGGAGCGATTAATTTAATATTCTTTTGTACATATAAGTAAGAGTGTGTTTGAGACTGATGGTATAGAATGAGTGATTTAAAAAAAAAAGATTTAAGTATAATTGATTTTCAAAATCACCGTCCTTGATTTTGACAATGRCAAGAGTGATTTTCATTATGTCAAAATCACTCCCGAACACACCCTAAATTGTGTTTACCCATAAAGTCTAAACTATCCATTTGTAATTCAACAATGACATTCCAATGTTTGCTTATTTGGGTGATGACATAATTTAGGCATGGTTGTGAGTTATTTTGTCCTCTCACAATTCTCTTTTCCTAAGGTTTCAAACGCAATCAAATTTATCGTAATCAATTAGTTAATAATGGTTAACATATTTTGAAATACGAAAAAAAATCATTGACAAAATTCAAAGTATCAATTTTTTTTTAAACAAAAAGTATCAATTTCTTGTAAGATGTTTTGAAGTTATTTTATAATTTTAAAAAATAAATTTACAATTAATTATGTTACTATGTTTTTTTTCCAATAGTTAGTTAGAATTCTTTAATTTAATACCTACGGAAATTTTAATTATTTAGTATAAATGAATAAATTCATTGTTAATTTTAACTTATAATCAAATAAATTGAAAATATCATGTGCATGACTCGGGACATTATATTAGAAAGGGATAATTCTAGAAATACATTATTGGACTAATATGGCAATCTCTTGATTTCTAGATTACTAGGCAGGTCATTTAGTTGCCAATTACCAATTAATTATTATCTCCTTTAATTATTAATCATTTATTTCAGATTAAAAAAGTGCATTAATAATTTGTTAAAACTAACCTTACACGTTTATATTTTATTTAAAAAAAGACTATACTTACATAATTTCATTCTTTTTTACTTGTTTGTTTTTTTTTAAATCTAAATACTGATGTTAGTAAAAAATGAGATAAAAAGATATTACGCGCATGTGGTAATAAACTAAGTTTTTTTTTTGTTTTTTCATGTTGATGAATAAAAAAGGGCTATCCAATGGTAAAAACAAAAGATATTTATCGAGAAAAAAGCCAAGATTCATTCTAATAGCCATTCATCGTTGAAATGTGCGGTCACTAATTTAATTGCCACATCATCTTATCGTTAGTCAACTAACGGTCAAATGAGATTATGGAGAACTATTTTCGAAACTTCAAGGATTAAAAGTATCTCTTTTGAAGCCTAAGAGACCAAATAGACACTAACATTAAACTCTAGGGACAAAAAATGTATTTCCCTAGAATAACTATGTATTTATAAAAATATAATTACGTTTTATTTTTTTTTCCAAAAACGTCATAAAAATAGTATTTGGTTGGTCTCATGTTGATGTAATGGTACAAGTTTGCAACTCGTGCCACTTTTGTAAAATTTTAAATCTAATACCATATATAAAAATACGTATTTTTCATGTGTTATTTTTGTAATTCCATACAAATTGATTTATTATAAATTTAACTTTTAATTTAAAACAAACAAAAATTATGAAACACAAGGACAGAAAAACAGAAAAACTACAAATTTTCTAAAATGTTTTGTTCATGTCAAATGTGAAATGTCTATTTTCATTTTTAAAACATGTAAAGAAGGAAGAATAAGGAAGGGAAGATAAATTTGGAAAGGAAGTCGACAGGAGGGACCCTAAACATAAAATTTCCAAATCTTAGGACAAAAATGTCGAGTTTGAAAAGAAGTGCATTTTTCGAACATATTACCATAAAAACGTATAGGAATTAATTGTTTTTTGTTTTTTTAATTTTTTTTAGTAGAACATGTAAGGGTGGAGATCGAACTCACAACCTTTTAATGGAGATATATGTCAATTACCATCAAATTATGCTCCATTTAATTATTTTTCATGATTTCATTTTGATTTAGTCGATCAAAATTTGACCATTAATATTAAATTGTGATTCTCATGATTAGAGCCATTGGCAATTATTTGACATAATGTTGCACAAAGAGATGAATATATGAATAAAGGTGGGGTGGACAAAAAGTTGAATTGACAATGATAGATGTTTAGTCTTAAAGTTTGTGGGTTCCTTGAATCTCCATTTTTAGTAGGGGCTAAATGGGTCATTGAATTGGGGCCACCAACTCTATTAATAAAGAAGCTTAGCCCCACACTTTCTTTTGTACTAAAATATTTCATTTCGTCAGTTCTCTTTTCTTTGCACCCGTGGATTATGTTATAGTGTAAAAAGTTGCAGTTATTGTTGGGTTTTGGTAGAATATTAAAAGATCAAATTGTCCCACCATTTCAGAAAGGTACAAGAACGGGTGCGGAGTGAGTTTTGTTCCTTCTAATTGGAACGTTTTAAGTATGGTATACTAGCTCTAGTTAATTAAGCGATATTTGCTTTGAGAGGATGTTTTTGTGTAATTGAGGTTGGAGAGACAAGTGATTACCAAATGAGTCATCTAAGGTAGGTACATATATTTCAATTCTTTAAATTAAGTTAGGTAGAATTTATAAGAACGATTACCGCTAAACTATGTTCGCTTTAGCTTCACTGAAAATATTTAACATATAACCTAAAATTAAAACTTTTTATCTTATAAATTATAGTGGGCATTTTTTCAGAAAAAAAAATTTATAAAGATGAAATTTTGAAAAAGTAATTGCAAATATAACATTTGTTAGAAAAATAATTGTAAATATGACAAATTTTTAAAATGCACACATTATTTATTAACTTAAATTTTTATGTGAAACAATTGATATAATTTAGAAAAAAACTAAAATAGAATTGGTTTTTTTAGATTAAATTGGTAAGTTTGGGTAGAGTCATTTAATAGCAGCTTTGTGTGGTAATCAAATTTAATTTGAGAGACTTTGATTTTCATTAAAGTTGTAAGTTTTTTATTTTTGATTTTTTTTTATTGAATGGAGGAATAAAAATTATAATATACAAGTTTAGGATTATGAATTTAAATTTATTAAAAAATTATTTATTTTAAATAAAAAATACAATCACATCCCAATAACTATACATTTACAAAATAAAAAAAGTCGCATTAAAAAAATGCTATGAAAAACAAGATCTGCTAGCAGGGACACAGAGTCGCGTGAAGGGTTAAACCCCTGGACCATACAATATTTTGTTATTATATATTATATTTAATTAAAGGAAAAAATACACTTTGGTCTCTGAAATTTGGGATAGGTGTCAATTTGGTCCTTGAAGTTTCAAAATGAATCCTTTTGATCCCTAAGATTTGAGGTAGGTGTCAAATTGGTCCTTAAGTTTCAAAGTAAGTACTTTTGGTCCCTAAAGTTTCAAAATCTATTTTAAATGGTCCCTAAGCATTGTTTGACCGTTAGTTGACTTAATCGAAAACTGATGTGACAATTAACACGTGACTAGAAGTTTATAAAAAAAAAAAGATTTCTACAAAAATATTAACTTTTACATCATTTTATTTTGTGAGGTGGCATTTTTTAATTTTTTTTTATTCTTTGGTCTCTTCATCTTCATGCTACCATGGCTACTATCACTACTGTCCACCGCCATCGCTATCGTCGGTTGTCATCGTCCACTATCACTACTACCAGAGAGAGGGAAGAGTTCTCCCTCTCTCCAGCGACATCGCTCATCGTCGGGGAGAGAGGGAGTGCTCTTCCCTCTCAGCTCTCCCTCTCTCCGGTGGACAACTCCCTCTCTCCAGGGACATCACTCGTCGTCGCCGGAACGAGGGAGAGAGGGAGAGCTCTTCCCTCTCTCTGGTGGACAATAATGATGGTCGATGGCGACAGCGGGAGACGGCAGCGTTAGATGGTAGAAGAAGATGAATAGTCGAGAAAAAAGCGAGAAGGAATAAAAAATAATAAATTTGGTTAAAAATTAATATTTTTTTACAACTCATTAAAAAAAACAAATTAAAAAAGTCGAGTCAGTACGACGTCATTTTTCCATTAAGTCAACTAACTGTCAAAGAATGCTTAGGGACCCTTTAAAATAAATTTTGAAAGTTTAGGGACAAAAAAATGTTTATTTTGAAACTTAAGGATCAAATTGACATCGACCCAAAATCTTAGAGACTAAAAGTGTTTATTTTAAAACTTTAGGGACCAAAAATATATTTTTCCGTTAATTAAATTTAAGGTGGACACGTGTTTGTGGTCCCAAATGATCAAGCTCCTTGTACATAAACAGCATAAACGACAAAATCAGCTCCAAAAAGTCCCAAGTTGACATAAACAAAACAAATACGCCCCGGCCCACTTCATTGAACCTAAACTTTGCCCATCACCCACCTAATAATGCCTAATATAATATGCCAAGTGGTAACATATTTTTAAGAGCCTATTGTATAAAACTCAAATCCCATTTTGATTTCTATCTCTTTTGGGGAATTAATTTGCTGTATATGGAATGATAAAATAATAACAATCAATTGATTTTATTAATTAATTTATCGGATGGAAACGAGTATAATCAATTTAATTTATGATTTAATTATATTGTAATGTTACTATATCCAAAATTATCTACGTCATGCTTTTTAGTTCAATAATAATAGGACAAGACTTTAAATTACTTGATATACAACTAGTCCTTACTACATATATATTTTTATTTTCTTTTTAACTTAAATAAGGCCCTTGAATTTATGAGATTTAAGAAATAAGAAGATAAGTAATGCCCTAATTACTATCATTTCCCTCAAAGAAAAGGCCACGTCATAGTCGCGGGCCCCACCGAGCGTGGTTTGGAACCATGCCAGTTGCCGCGGAAAGGTCTGGCTCTTCCGAAAGAGCAATAAAAATCCCAAACCTAAAAAAGGTAACCATGGTTGGTTGGCACCACGCACCGCCTAACCATGGTTAAAAATAAACTATATCAGGAATCCATAAAACGACAATTATAAAAATGGACTCAATTTCTTGAGAGACAGTCCACCAAGCATTTTGTTTTCCAAGCTCCTCTCGCGATTCACAACTCTCTCCGATCTCCATGGCTTTTTCCTCTCACGCTACGATCCTCGGCGGC